CACAGCAAACTGTCAATGCAGAGATCTATAGTCAGCAACTGGAATGTTTAAATCAAGCCCTTCATCAGAAATACCCTCACTCGTCAATCGGAAAGGTGTTCTTCTTCTCCATGGCAATGCACATCCACATGCGGCATGTTTGACGCAACACAAGATTATGGAGTTGGGTTGGGAAATTCTCCCCCACCCACCATATTCTCCAGATAAGAACTGAATTATAAAAAAAAAATGATCATCTTTGTACAATAAGTACAGATAAATTAAGACAACTTTATTTTCTATTTCTTATAACTATACATTAATTATGATTAAACAGTTTTTTATTGAACAAACCACTTAAGTCTTACATCATAACACATAAACCAGTTTAAAATTTTTTGTTCCTTTTTAATGGGAAGAGTGTTGATGCTTCTCTTGCTCGCAAATCCGTTTAATATTGCGAGTGATGCTAGAGGTGTAACATTCTGTCTGTTCCTGTATTTTGTTTTTGTTGCAGTGTAGCATGAGAATCCAGTTTCACATAAGTATGTTGTAGTGAAGAGAAGGAGTTCACAAGCTGCATGTTTTGCCACATTTGGGTACTTGTGAATTATGCTACCTCAAAATTTAATTAACAGAAGTTTGCTGAAGCTTTATTTTAGTGTAGAGTCAGAAGACTTGTCAATAAAGCTCTCATGATTTTGCACTATTAAGCCAACTGGCTTGGCTGTTAGTGCAACTGGATTATACACTCATTCATAGTAGTCATTTGATGGAGGAAAATATTCCAACAAGGTGCTGTCTAATGTCACTGAAAACATTTTCATGAGGTACAGAATTAATTTTGGTGAGAAAACCATTCAATGTTGGGAAACAGTCAAAGTTTCTGTTTTCTAGGCATGAAGTCCAAAATGCCAGTTTCTGCAACATTCGTGAAATTTTATCATTTACAGTAAAAAATGACAACATCCTTTACTTGCAGAAACAGATTTACTTCATTTAGTTTGTTAAAGATATGCAAGTCTCAGAAGCCATGAGGTATTTAACAAACAGTCCAGTAGTCGAAATTGGTGAGCCACAAAATACCAATACCTCAAAAAGAAGCTTGAAAAGTCTCACAAGCACTTTGCCTTGTGAAGACCACACCTCACCTCCATATGTAAAAGCAGCACTGTGTGCTAACTACCCATTTCTTAGCACTGAGTTTTAAATAGTTTGGATTTCAATGGTCAAGTTTTAATATAATTGATAATTTGCACTGCCCCATCCAGCACATCTTTAAGAGATGTAAGCATCTTTTTTAATAGCAAGAACTCATCTGTGAGGAACACAGTGACTGCTGGTGCAGCCCTGTGTCACTGTTTTGACCTGCATTACAACACCTGCATTTTTCTCAACCACTGCCCTGGTGTCATCATTGCACCCATCTACACCTTTATTACAACTATCTTTTCATGAAGTTGTTAGTGCATTTGAATATTTCTACATCAGTTTTGTTGCTTTGCAAAGATTCACATCAAAGCAGGTCCTCCTCAATAGATTTATTAAATAGGTAATGCACAAATACCAGCAACACTGCAATCCCTGACATGTTAGTGGACTCAACTAGCTATAATGAATATTGTAAGATTCAAGAGAGGAAAGTAGCTAATCTCAATGTCAGCAGAAAGATCTTGAATTTGACTGGTGATAGTATTGTATGACAGCTGTAATGCCTCAATTTTTTTTATTAGCCTGCTCATCAAGCATAGATTGTACAATATCTTTCACGCAAGGTTTAATGAGGTTTTCTCTAATCATACATGTTTCTCCCATGAATGCAGTGTGTTAACTTACTTTCCTTCCTTCCTGTTGTACATCTTTTCAAAATTAGGAACAGCTAGCTCATATAGCTTTTGAGTAGTTTTCTGCAGAAATGTGAATGAAACAAAAATCAGTTGTTTTTTACAAAAGAGATAAAAACTTTCAAACAACAATCTATCAAAGAATTTAGAAAAAACTCATTGAATAGTTTATTAAAAAACCTTCAGAGTGAGAGTACCCAACTGTTAAAATAATGATTTTCATTACTATGAATTTTTGTAAATTGTGTTACTTTTGAAATTTAAAGTAGTAAATTTTTTGTTTTTTTGTAATCAAGTTAACATTCTGTTACAGTTGATAAACTTAAAAGTCTAATTTCAAGTAGAAGTTATATGCAACTTAAAATAGGAAACATTGTTTTTATAGTTATTAATAATAATATATAATAATCCTATTAGTCTATTTGTTCATAATTTTATACAGTTAAATAGAATAACTTGCACATTAAATTTAGACTTTATATTGTATATATGTATGTGTGTATTTGTTGTTTTTTATTAGCTCAGAACAGTTTTGCTATGAAAAGTATATGGTATTTATATAATTATCTTGTTTGCTATCTTCACAGAAATATTCTACTGTGAATCTACTTTGCTTAATGATTATGCATGTGTTTTTCATTTTTGTAGGCATTGTGCTTGTGGCAATTAATCCATATGAAGACTTACCTATTTATGGAAATGACACAATATTTGCTTATCGAGGACAAGCCATGGGAGATCTGGATCCTCATATATTTGCTGTATCAGAAGAAGCTTTTACAAAAATGGAAAGGTTGGCTTTTAATTTGTCTTTAGTTAAGATCATTTTGATAAAAAAAAACAAATGTTAGAAGAGAGAGATATGCTTACAACCACTGTTTTTGATGATCCTGAAACACACTATTTTTAAAGGTTTCTGTATTAATCATAACAGTTCTAGTATCTATTCCAGTCATCTAAAACTATTTTGATATAGTAACACATCCAGATATTTATTTTTTTTAAAAAAGGCTTTTGGAATTAACTTTATCAATAAATTCTGAAATATACTTCAAATGTCTGGTTTCTTTAACTTCTTTGTATGTAAACTCAAATGCTATTTCAAAATTTTGTGTAAATTAGCCCATGATTTTTAGGCCTTAGACATTGTAATAATAAATTGAAAGTTATATTCTAAGGCCAATGACATTTTTTGTACTTTGTAACGTTTTTAAATCTTGCATCTTGAGTATGCTTGTTACCCAACTTTAGAAAATTAGCTCTATATCTGCATTTTCATTTCTTAGGTATGTGAGCCACATATCATTTTGAAGCTCTGTTTACAATAAGTGTAATGGTATAAACTATGATTCATTTGTAGCTCTTAATTTTGGACAACATTTGAAAAAGGTGGGAAGTTTGATGTGATGAATTAAACATGTCACAATAATTGTTCTTCAGACATTTTTTCAAATCAATTAAACACTTCAGAGTTTTTTGAGTTTGAATGGCAATTTTTTACTATTGTTTTGTCATTGTGCTTGACCTGGGAGAGTCAGGTTCACTTGGACCTCTTCCTCCCTTCTTTATTGTTGTTTATGAACTTCCAAATTCTATATTGCTATTGCTTGTAGTGTTATAGTATGTATATTTGAATGCTGTATTTATTTTGATAAATGAGTCAGTGTTGAAAGCTGATTGGCAGAAAAAATTTAAGACTTTAGAAACAGTATGGCTCTTGAATAAGGTTCACTCAGAAATCGCTTTCAATTATGTGACAGTGTTAGTTGTTTTTGCATATCCTTTACGTTTCAAACAGCCAAAACGAAATGTAAAAAATAATAATTTTATAAACTTTACAGAAGTTCGAACTTGTTGAATATGTATAATGAAACATTTTGAGCAATATTATAAAACTCTCTGATTTATTTCTTAAATTTCATCTGTTGTTATCACAACATATCAATGATTAAAAATTTCTGAATGTCTTTTATGCATTGCAGAGCATGCTTCACTTACCCATAATTCTCCACTCTTCCACCTTCCACGTGGCTTATTGCATAGGGATCAGAGGATCTTACATAAGCTCTCTTTTCCACCATAACCTAAAGTTTCTTGTTGACAGTTGTGTTGTTCAATTTGCTATGACATTTTCTTTCTGAAGCAGCTTTTTCCACCACTATTGGAATTTCTAAAACTTAGTTGGAAGACTGACTTACACAATTTTCTTGTTACATCTAGGGTGAATTGTATATGCTTTTTATTCATACTGTTGTATACTCATATTTCTAGTGGGTATTACAATATCATGTGTATGCTTAACTTGCATAACAATTGCTATTTTCTTTTGTTTTTGATGAAGTTCAATTTTTTTTTATAGTGCCTAATCACCTACAGAATCTAAAGAGCTAGATTTTTCTGCTACAGTGCTAGCTTTGATCCTAATAATGTTTCCGCTGGTCTCCTCCTATCATTTTATCTCTTGTATTTTGTGCATTTTCAACATTGTACCTATTTATTTTCATCACCTAAGAGTGGTTGTGTCATGTGAGATGATATTCATACTGGATTCTTTTTTCTCCTATTGTTGACTGACCACCTGAGGGAGATGTGTCATGTGAAATGATATTCATACTGAATTCTTTTTCCTTCTGTTGTGACTGACTTAGATTCTCTTTCACATAAAGATTTTCAATATTAATGGGGTTTTTAAGTCCTTTTCAATCACCAATAAAGTAACCTAAAATAATTTAGATATTTGAATAATGTTAGAGCTCATGCCTAAATCATAATTCCACGTTATATATCGGACCAAGTATTTAATGATTACATATATGTAACATATATGTATGTTGCAGATTTTTCTTCCAACTTCACCAAAGGTAAAATTAAAAGGAGAATCTGTGTCATAAGAGGTATAATGTTTTCTTTGATTAGCTGTATGTATAATGTGAAATAATGATTTAGATTTTCAAAGTGTAGTCAATGCTGTTTGTTCCTGTTTTGGAAGAACAGAAACTTTTCAAGGGAATCAACATCAGTTGTTGATACCTTTTGGCTATTCTCAGTTCCAGTGACTTTGTTCCATCCACATTAGTGAATTGATTTAAGCAGTTGATCCAACTTTTTTTATAATGATGTTATCAACCACATTAAGAGTAGACTTCAAGTTACATCTCATCACATTTGTAATTTCATGATGTACATACCTCCTGATCTCAGTGAACATCTTACAAACAGACTAAGTGCAAATCTTTTCAGTCTTTGATCTTCATCACATCTTCAGTTTCAGGATTCCATATTCAGTTTGTGGTTATTCTTCAGGTACAACTGAATCTGTCTCTTTTGAGGTTTTTGTATCTTCTGCCCAACACCCAATGTTTGGTATTTCAACTTTGTTTGAGATTGTGAATAACTTTGACTTCAAAATGAGAAACACAAATAATTAAGTACAGTTTCTTCTTATATATCCAGAACTTGTATTTATATTGATTCATCCACTCGGAACTCTCATATATTCTTCAGCTTCTGCATTTTTTCTAGGCAACCCAAGTATTTCTCTATTGCCCAACATCCTTGTTCACACATCTTGGGGTGCCTGAGGTTGAGGAAGTCTTAGGTTTTATATATATATGTATACATAGGGAAAAAAGTCTTGTGTGAAACACTGTATGGATTCATTCAGTCGTGTGTTACATATACCTATGTGCATTTGTCCTAGACAAAATATCACCCTCTATGCTGGAGCTTGATGAGAGGTTACTGTGCTTTGAAAGTGGACTGATGATGCCTCGGTGGGTACCTTTTCCACATCTGTGTTCATTAGAGATGTTGAAAACAGTACTGCTGTTATCACTAGATATCTCGGCTTCAACCAGGATTAGAATAATTTGTTTTGTTTTTCCTGTTGCACTGTCTTCATGTTATTGAGATCATCCTTGTTGACTGTTTGGTCTTTTCATTGGTTCTCCATGAGTACCCACTAATTTGGCTGATTGTGTGACTCACTGGCCATTTTTTCATGTATATGAAGAGAGGCTATTGCCTTTTGACTATGTCATTTCGTAGTCCTTGTCTGGACTGTTCCTCCAAGAACATTTTACTGCAGGAGCATTACATAATATTCCCCTTACTTGTTTATGCCACCACCTGTTTCCCTTTGTTGGATCCAAAGGTTCAGTACAATATTACAGCTGATAAAACTGACCACTTTGCCTGAATTAAAAGTTGTCATGTGTTAAGAGACACCCTGCTGAGAAAAATGGATTTTTTTAGTGTCCTTTTGGTTCGGTATTCTTTGTGAGGCTGGTCCACTCTATTCCTTCTCCCTTGAATCCAGCTCTTCAAATTATTTTCTGGTTCTGTAGTCTACTCGTACTCTGTTTGGCTTCATATGCTTTGTAGTCTAGATTATTAATTTCCTGTTCCGTAGCTTGTATTTTTTATACTTTTGGTTCCCACCTCCTTTAAAATGTTAGTATTCTTGCTTTCAGTATTCTGGAGGTATATCTATTTGATTTAAATTTTATATTTTTAGTATTAAAATGATTTTCAAATAAATATGTATCTATGAAAAATTTCTGTCTCACTTCTCTACGAGGAAATTTCATCACAGCTTCAACTTTCAATAAATATAAATTATGGTTGGAATGCAGAGCTTATTTGAGATTCCCTAATGATTGTGCAGTATGTCACGTGGAAGGTGGGAGAGTGAAGAATTATTGGTAAGTGATGCTTGCTGTGCAGTATATGAAGGAAATTGGGAAATTTTTAGTCATAAGCATCGTTGACAGCTTTCAAACTAAATAAGGAAAGGCCTTCAGTATTTCAGAAGTAAGTACAAAATGTTGATGCTGTGTAGCAGTATCCTATAAGTATTTAGAAAATGTGTGTGTGCCAAATTTATTGCGAATAGATGTGGTCATTGTAGAGAAACATCATGTGTTGTAAAGTGACTAAACAGGGACTGATGGGATTGATCAGAAACCAGTAACTTTTGTCAGCAAATTATACTCAGTCACAAAAGTTTTTTTTGGAAATTGAGTCTGATGAATTCCCCTTGTAACACATGTTCATATTTTTTTGCTGTTTTTATCTGACTGCTATCTTATTCATTTTGCTGTATCCTTACATAGAAAGATTGCACAATGCCTATTTGTAAAAGGGTTAAAGTTTTTTTCACAACTGCATTATTAGTTAATTTTAAAATGTGTAGCAAAACTTGATACAAACTAAATATAGACTATGCTAACATATCTGCCCAATGTTTTGCTCTCAATATGACTTGTATCACATGCAGTGATATAGGATCTCTGTGAAATGATTGTATTCCTTTTAATTAAAGAAATAGGTATAAATATCCATGAATATTTTATAGGAGTTCTTAAAAATTTATATATATTACTTATGTTAATTTACATCACCAATCAGAGTTTTCCTACAACAAGTAAAGAAGTGATAAGAGAGAAGTATTGGGTGTTTCTTACAAAATGTAAACATTATTTACTATGATAGAGAAAATGAAAACCAATCTATAATTGTGAGTGGAGAATCTGGAGCTGGAAAAACAGTGTCAGCTAAGTATGCCATGCGGTACTTTGCAACAGTTGGGGGATCATCTACAGAGACACAAATTGAAAAGAAAGTTTTAGCTTCTAATCCAATTATGGAGGTAAGCAGATAAAGGTTGTGTTTAAGCTACTTTTACTCAGGATTGAATTGTATAACTGTAATGATGTAGTGTGAGGCATAATTTATCATTTCTGGTTAATTCTTGCTATTGATTTATGTGATGCTATCTTGATGAACCTGTAAGGTGTGAGGGTTTAAAATATTTAAGCACTAGCTTTTATTTATTTAAGTACTTTCTACCTCCTTGCTTATGATGTGGAAAGATGCCAAATTTAAGTTTAGATTTATGTGAATTTACATGTATACATAATGTGGTTAACTTACTTTAGGTTATTGTTTATGACCACAATTGAGTATGGCCTAGTGATTAATATGTGAGGCTGTGAGTCATAGAGTTCAGTGTTTGAGACATAATGCTGCTGATCACACTACATTTTCAGTTGAGGGTGAAGTGTAAAAGGGGACAGTGAGTTTCATTATTTGGTTCAAAGAGCTGGAAAAAGCCCTTGTGGTGGTAGCTGCTGCTGTCTGTCTTCCAGTTCACAGTAGTTCAAAATTAAGAATGGCCTCACTTTGAATTCTAGAGGTGTCTGACCTGGCCCTCCTAGGACATTTGCACATAAAGTCACATTCAGGATGAAAATGTAATAAGTAATTCCAACAAGGTACCTTCCTTCCTCTCACATACATAGCTATTTTCATTCAGAGCTGCCATCTTCATAAGCCTTTCACTCCCATACACCCCTCTATTAATGTGGTATAACTGATTCTTGCATGCAAATTCTCATGTGACAAACCTCAACCAATAGTAGTGCCACACACCCATGTGAGTATGTGTTTCCCTTTATGCTATTTTACCTAACTATCACTTCTTGTTTGACAGTGTTCATGTTCAGATGTTAAGTTTGTGCTATCTTCAAGTGTTTTTTTCATATCTTTGTATCAATTTCTCTTACCAAGTTTACTATGTATTATACAATAGTGATATTTGTAACTTATTCTGAGGTAGAGTTATTTTGTATTTCTACCCAGTTATGGAACTTAATACTTCATTACAAATTTTTTTTTTTAAATTTTTATTTCTTTCTGTCAACATGGTTGTGTTTGATTAATCGTTTTGAATATGAATTCTGAATTCCAAGTTTCCATTTTGGAGGTTATATCCTCTATCAGCACACTTGCACAGGCAGGAGATTGATTGTCCAATGAGCTGACTTTTGTCAGTCCGTCGATTTTTGAAAGATAAGGCATTATGCTGTTATAGTTTTTGAATATTTTTACTGATAATATTATCTGTAGTTATTTGGGTTTAACATATTTAAATAGTTATAGTTATGATCAGGTTTGAAATTAGAGCTTAGTTGTATCCTTTGTCCTATAACATTAGATTAGGCTTAACATGGGTCTTTGTTATTTTAGGATTACTTGTAATTCATCTTACTAGTATATTGCAAATTAGGTTAACTATATTGTTTTGTTTTGTTTTTCAAAACATTGCATTTCATACATATGTTATTATCAGTACACACTTACTTCATTTTACAATATAACGTCTAGTTCATTTTCATTATCATTTATATTTCTTTGTGTTAACTTTGTTTGTGTGGACTCCATGAGTCAAGTTCCGCACACAATTTTCCTGATACTGTACATATTATTGTTAGTTTAGGGTTTTTAAATTAGAGCTTAGTGAGATACTCTGTCCTGCATAGCTTGATTAGGCTTACTTAATAAATGTGTGTTATTTTCGGTTTACCTGTAGTTCATCTTACAGGTAAATTGATAATTAGGTTAAATATATTCTTTTGTTCAACATATAACATCTTATACATACGTTTATTTCACTACTCACTTACTTAAGTTTACATTGTATCGACTATATCATTTTTGTAATTCTTGATAATTTATACTTCTTTCAATTAATTTAGTTTGTTAGTACCCCTGGAAACCAGGGTCTGCCCTGCATTCTCGCAATATTGCTCGTCTTCCTCCTACAACTGCCGAACCCAATTTAGGACAACCTATATTTTGTCATTTTTCCTCCACGTGATTATGGCTTGCCTTCCCAGGATTAAACTGTGGAATCTGTTAGGCCTACCCTGGCTTTTTTTTTGACACATTTCACAATATACTTTCCCCTCCTTCTCCAGACACTATGTTTCATGATGAGCATTCTTGTCTCTTAAGGGGAGGGGCTTTGGTTCAATTTGCCTTAGCAGATTTTTTTATTGATTTTATGTGCTTAGAATCTCTGTCATCTATATAGGGGTAGTATCTTTTAATCCTATCCATTTTATCCCCCACTTAATTTTCCATCTTCGTCTACCTTACACTCCTCTCTTGGGTGTGGGATACCTCTTCCTCCTTCCCTCCATGTTGGGGCATTTTCCATCTTCAGTTCTTCCCCTCCGCATGTGCCTTTTTTGCTTTTGGGAATTTCTGGGGTGGGTCACTGTCTTGTACTGATTGTTTACCATCTATTTCTAATAGGGACTGAAGGTCAGCTTTCTTCCTTCACCAGTCAATTTTTTGGGCTACTCCTGTACATTTAGCATCACGTGGGGTATCTTTTTTGTTTCCTTCTGAGTCATTGTCATCTTTATTCATGTTCCGTGTTCGGCGCCTTTCAGTCTTTACCTGTCCTACTTGCGGGTTTCTCCATTCTATTGTATGCTCGATGCTGATTGGAGTTCTAGATCTATTGGTCCCACCTCAATCACTTCTTAGTTCTTCCCCATTTTTAATATGTAGCCTTTGATTATTTTCTGCAGAACTCGGAATGCCCAAAGTAAATGTTCTTAATTTTCATTTTTTGGGATGGTACCTTAGGATTTTTCAACATGTTAATTTGTACCATTTTCATGCTTTGCCCTTCGGACTTGTTACGGTTCCATATGTCTTTTGTCAGGTGGTCTGCATTTTACCCAACTTCCACATTTTGGGAGATTTTGCTAACACCACTACTTGGACGTCTGGCTTCACTTAGCTCCTTCCAAATAGGAATGTCATAACATACTCATCCCTTCTTACACAAGCAGCTCGGGTGGTTGGATTTTCCAGTTGGATAAGTTTTTCCTGTTACCCACCTAACATCTCAGGTATTTGAGAAGTGTCTTTTTAAACACCCACCTTTGTTGGAACCATTCATTCTCCTCCTCAAATGCATTTGATGGAACACTGTTATCCATGCTATTATGGTTAATTAATCTTGCTGCTAGCGAGGTTCTAACGCATTGGGGGATATGGCTTCTATGGAAGCACTTCTTCCTTTGAGTCTGGTACATTTGTCATTTTTTTTCAGGAGATGTTGCATGACCCATAAGTTGTAATAATACTTGTCTTGGGTAGTTAGTTTGCTATGTTACACAACAAAACCATTCAACAGTAATTTTACAAAATATCTAAATATAAACTTAGTAACTGAGATTTATTGGGTTCAAGAAAAAATGTTTTCATCTCAACAGGCTATTGGTAATGCTAAAACAACGAGGAATGATAACAGCTCTAGATTTGGAAAGTATATTGAGATTGATTTCAATAATAAATATCACATTATGGGAGCCAACATGAGAACCTATCTTTTGGAGAAGTCTCGAGTTGTTTTTCAAGCACCTGAAGAAAGGAACTACCATATATTTTATCAGCTTTGTGCATCTGCAGACTTGGAAGAGCTTCAAGAATTCCAGCTAGGTGTGTTGCAGTTGCTAAGTAATGTACGGTTGAGATTTTACGATAATACAAGATGTTTATTCAACTTACAGTTTTATTGACTCGGGTTTTAATTGTGTGTATAGCCAAGTGCTGAAAGTAGGTTGTGGAAGAAAGTGATAATTCTTTAAATAATTTGTTAAATGTAGAAGTTACAATAAAAAAATATACCACTTTTTAAATTTAGTACTAAATTTTTCTTTGTGGGAAACACTTGTATTTTGACTTCCATATTTTGTAAATGAAGTCCTGTCATTGTTTATGTAAATTTTTTTCCTGGCATATAGTGTGTGAATTTTTGATTTTGAAGATATTAAAATGTAGTTGTTTTGATTTTTTAACATAGCAAATTAAAATTAGAGGGTGTAAATATAAAACTTGGCAAAAGCAAATTGTTTAATGAATTAATCAGTTTATTGTTGCAGTGTAATATCCTTCGTCATGTGGTTTATCTCTGAGTTGAAGTGTCTTCTTCATTCAAAAAAATTTGCTCGGATTACATTTCATTTATTTTGATCTTTTCTGTTTTTAAAACAGAAAATTATCCATCAACAAATTTGTACAAGCCAAAGGTTTGCAATTTAATGTATATTGCTGGTGAAAATGTTTCAGAAAATAAAACATGTATTTGTAAGTGTGATTAAATGAAAACATTATTTTGTGAACTGAATTTATTTTTTCTTAAATTTAGTTCTTTAACCCTTTATCATCCATGGAAGGGTTTTCCTTTACCATAATTGGCATAAATGTGTGAGTAGAGAGTCTAGCATGAGTAAATATACAGGTGGAGATGATAAAGGATTAAATGCCAGTAAGTTAAGGAAATTTTAAGAGAAAATTAACCAGGATAAATTCCTTTTGAAAATATTTTTTGTGTTCTTGTTTCTAAGTAATATTTTATAGAGTAGTTTGTACATTTAGGAAATGTGTAGTGCTTGTTATAATATTGTAAATACATAAAAACTACAGTGTGTTATGAAGTAATAATATAAACTTGAAATATACCATGAACAAATATTTATTGCTTCCTTTGGCATATTTTATGTAAACTGCAAAAAGTACATTTTGAGAAACATGAGATGGAGAAAAGTATTACATTAACTTATCCTTTTTTTTTTTTTATTAAGATCTAAATTCATAGAACTTTGTCAACTTTATTTGCATGACTATTTTCTGTAGACCATCAAGACAACTTTTACTACACAAGTCAAGGAAATTCGCCCACGATAAATGGAGTTGATGATGCCCAGTGCTTTCAGGAAACTCGAAATGCACTATATCTTTTAGGTTATTATTTTCATATGTTATATTTTATTTTATTTTTTGATGAATAAACATAAATATGAATAATGTTTTATTTAATGACTATAAAAATTGTATATTTTAAAATGAATATTTAAATTTCTGAGGTAGACTTTGACTGTATACACATTTTTGTATTTTTTCATAGCCTCTGAACCTTTTTAACATTCAAACACTATAAACATGTGTTTAGGTACAACCAGAAATCTACACCAAGCTATTTCCTATGCCTAAAGACACACAAAGCTTATTTGAAATGTTTCCCTGTCATCAGTGTATTTGGGCTTTTGAACAACCTTATAATTATAAAGTAACCATCAGTTTCCTTACAATACATTTTAATACAAAATGATAAAAACCCTTCTTCAGGGTGAAACTGGGATTGTATATATAAATTTTAATACGTTTTGTGTATCTTCAAGAAATTTAGCAAGGTTTCAGTAAACATTACAAGCGTCTTGTATGCAAAAAAATCATATTTTTTTTAATTAAGTATTTTTACTAGAGATTTGTCAGTGAATATATGGAGTCATTTCCATGACTTCTAAAGCCTCCTAAATAAATTCCAAACTTTTATTTTCAGTAAAACTATATATTTTATTTGTTATTTTCTCTAACATAACTATACAGAATCAGATAATTTAACTGATCTCATAGTTACCATAAAAAAATATGAAATAGATCTAACATACTCTTTTTTTCTTTCTAGAATGACTGCAGATTCTAACAGAAAATTACAACTGTTTATCATAAATAGCTTAAGGTTTATAACAATCTACACCTGTTTATACTTAATTTTATTTTTTATTGCCCTTTGAACTATGTCTAACTAATCACACAGGCTTGCAATAGTTTTATTGTCTTGAAAGTTATAGGTGTTCTACAATAATTCCTGTACATTGAGTCCGAAAATGATATCAGTTTGTTCCATCACGTACAGATTTTGCACAAAATGTCATAATGCAATATATAAAAGAAATACCACAACACATAGTTTTGAGATTAAAAGACATAGGTTTCACAAAAAAAATCAGGATGAATAAGTATGCATATTTGTTTGACATCAGAGTTCTTCCATTTTCTTCAGTTTCTTTGTATTTTTGTTAACAAACATAATAATAATAAACTTTTCATTGTGGTAAACAAAATAATAGTTTTCTTCTTGATTTGTAAAAAATCCTTACATGATAGAAATAAATGAATATTATTTTTGAAATCTACATAACTGAATTATTAAAAATCTGTTATTAAAACCCAAACAACTTTTATTTAAATTTGCATGCCTGTGTAATCCTGCAACACAAATTGTAAATCACTACAAATGTGTAGCTTATGTTACCATGTTAAATGATTTAACACAGTAGCTGTTCACTGGCATATCTCATAAGAATTATTATTATGATTACTATTATATTTCATTGTCTTACCTTATCTAAGTTAATAAGTTTCTAATTTTTACAGCTTAGTTACTTTTGTAACAATAAATAAAAAATATACAAGAAAAACAAGAAATACAATACTTACATTTGACCTTTTGTTTGTTTTTGCTGTCAGTTGCAGATGAAATTTAAGACCTTTTTTTCTATGATGGTACTAGTACACAAAATAATTTTTATGTAATCTAAGAATACAGAATAGTAACACTCACAAAATAAACAATGTGTTATAATTGTACTGGCTTTCTAACTAAGACAAGAGGGGCTCTTAATCCAAATGCTATGGGATAAACTTTGAAACTGAAGATGAAACTAGTAATACTTTATACTTAAAACAACGTAACACTGTTCATCATTCAGTAGGTTAAAACTTTGTCTTTCTGTTGGTTATAAATTATATTAAATGTCAGGGAGTATTATTGGCAATTTGTGAAAGAGAGGATATAACAAGTGGGCATGATTAATGGGTCTCATTTTCTAGTTTATGACTCCATTAACAAATAACGTTGAAGGCTATAAAAATTAAAGTTTATCATAGTAATATCTATATTATGATAAGTAATGTATGTTAAACACCATACTTCAGAGAGGGGTGGTCAATAAATTAGGGGAGGGGAAGATCTAGAGAACAAATGTTACGATTCTCATACTATGGGAGATTGAGGATTTTTAAAAATTTCCTTATAAAACTAAGAACATAAGGCTTGTATTAAAATTTGATTTATTATCCACATTTTGATGCCAAGTTTATTTGTATTCAATGATAATAAAGTAATTTAACCTCTTAACTGCAGCCGGGACATATATTTCCAAATGCCCCCACCCCTTCACATTGCAACTTGGACAAATGTTTCCTATTGTCATTCAAAATTGCTGCACATGATGTATGGGAATAAAATAAGTTGGAAAGTATTTATTGGTATCCCACCTAATGTTGATGTATGGTTTCATTCATTGTTTTGCACTCAGTTTTTCAGTAACCAACAAGATGCATAAGCAGAATGTATGACACCTGTATGTCAACAGTGCCTGTCGCTAGAGCAGTGAGTAGTAACCCTAATTACTATGTAAATATGCTTGATGCATTTGGCTCGGATAGCTTAGAAAATAGTTAAAGTGAGTCAAGTGGTGTTCAACTGCATCATGATGAAGAGGCAGTGAGATGAGGATGCTAGCTCTCCATCTAGTGATGATAGTCACGATGATGAACCTGGACCCAGCAGAGAGAAACATAAACAGAGTCGACAGTGGGAAACATTTGCCCCAGTCACAGTGTGTGGGGGTGGGAGCTCTGGGAAATATACCTCCCAGCTGCAGTGAAAAGGTTAATTAAATTAACGCTCTTGTTACAGGTCTTCGAAGAGCATGTCATCACCTTTGTAGACTTGTATTCAAAATTTTATTGAACTACTATTTTATGAATGTATATCAGTAAATTTGGTATTAACTTGTAGATTGTAATTTAAACTTTAATATTATACATTAGTTAATTTCTTAATTTGAAAGAAATATTTTTAAAAATTCGTAAATGTATCGATTTTTGTGTGTCACGTGGCATGTTGAATGCAGCTTTGGTTCAGTTTGTTTCATACAAATTAAAAACTCAAATTACTGATATTGACAAACTAGAATATAAAATAAGAACCTCCTGTCTTTTTTGTTTGCTAAGATATTGCTGTATTTAGCAAATCAAACAAAGTGGCCTCACCCTTTTCTTCCATTTTTGGAAATACTTCCATGTGAAATTTGACAATTTTCTGATGCATAAAAGTATATTTAATCATAAAATCAAAATTACTTTGCATGTTGGACAGTCAGCATTCGAAAAGAAAATATGTATAAGCAAATAGTTACTTTAAATATTTTAAAACTTGATAATAAAAAAATCTGATATTTTGTGTATGAAAGCCTTGTAATGTTTACTGATAACCTGCAAGATTTTATGAAGATATGCATACTATATTAAAAGTTATAGTATGAAAACTATAACAAGCACAAAATGGTTATGAGTTAGGTCTGTAGGACCGAGCCCGTTGTGAGAGGGTTAAAAGTTTGTGACATGCAAACTTTTACCTACCAATAATGAGATGGTTAAAGCTGATGTGCTGATGTAACTAAAAACTGCTCTACTTTGTTGATTATAGTATGAAATTTGTTACCAAGTAAGAGCTTATATATTTCATATTTGAAAACTAAGAATATTTTCAATGTTTTTGTTCTGACTATATATTCTAAGGCATGGATTTTAGGATTTTATAATACAAAAATACTTTCTACTGCTGCACCCACTTTACATTTACTGTAGGGACCAAAGTACTCGTGTCACAGCTTTTACAGAGTTACATTCAAAATTTAATTAAACAACTTTATTATCAATATACATCAATAAACTTAGCATCAAAACATAGCTTATTATTAAAAATGTAATATTATGTAAGTTTTAGTCTCATAATTTAAAAATAAGTATTTAAATTAATTCTTCACCTTCACTTCTGTGTGTCATGTGATGTCTCTCTGCTCTAAAATTCTCACTTTTAAATTTTATTTATTCTTATGTATGGGTTTCAGAATGTCCACCAATTAGGAGTACCACCTATAGCAATATACAGGCTAGACTATAAAATGAGTACCTACAAATCTTCTTTAGTTTTTGAGATATCAATAAAATTTGTAATTTGTTACACACAGTACAGAAACTCTTCCCAACCCTTCATGCTTTTGAAGTTATGTATTTACACATGCTTATTTATTTATTAATGATAAATATCTATGACCAATAGAAAGGTAATTTTTTAAAGTACGTAAAAGGCACTATTTCCTAAGCAGATTTTATTTAGTGAAGACCGAAGTTGATGTTTTGCTAAGTAACAAAATTCAAACTTTTATACAGCTCAAATAGAAAGCCAGATAAATTATAGTAGTTTTAGGACATTCTGTTTTATTGTATGAATGATTGTGTTTTAAAATATGTATTTGAAAGTTACGTGAATTATTTTTTGGAAACATACTTAATGAGAAAAATTTAGGGTTAATGAAGACTGGCTTCTGAGAGCAAAAGGCCACAATCCTGAATTAAGGGCTAAATTTATTATTTTTTATTTACAGATATACATTTTTTTAACAAAAGTAACTAAAATGTCAAATGTGAAACTTATTAGGTTAAATAAAAAACTTAAATGAAAAATATAATGTTTTTGGCTTGAATAATGCTCAAGAAAGAAAAATACATATTTAAATGTCCTGTGATGTAACCTGAAATTTGTTTACCATATTGTTATTTAAGGTAGTTACACATGGTTCAAAGAGCAATAAAACATTAGAATTAAATGAAGACAAATGTAAACTATTATGAGCCAGAGGTTACACATGGTTCAAAGAGCAATAAAACATTAGAATTAAATGAAGACAAATGTAAACTATTATGAGCCAGAGGTTACACATGGTTCAAAGAGCAATAAAACAATAGAATTAAATGAAGACAAATGTAAACTATTATGAACCAGAGGTTTTTTTTAAGGATAAGTAATTGTAATTTTATGTTACGAACTGCAGTCATTCTAGAAAGAAAAAAAAAGGGTAACTTAGATTTAATTAGGGTGGAGAAAAAATATGAAATTTTACTTTAAAAAAACTAATATTCATTTAGGAGATTCTAAAGGTTCTGTGAATGAAGTTTGAAAACTGTAGAATGAAAAAAGTATTTCTATTCTTAAAATGTGAAGCACCTTGAATTCTTACTAGTCAGAATCCGAGTCAGACTGACTTAATTAAGTTCAGAGAAATTTTTATTAGGAATACTTTATTAAAAATTCTGATTTTTTGTGTACAACAATCTTGTAATTTTTATTAAATTTTGTGACAATACATTAAGTAAATTTGGAATTATAGGAAACATTAATTCTCCAATACAGCTTCGGTCCAATGGACTGATCCTTTGCATATAGGGTTAAGTACTAATCTTTTTAATCTGTAGGTATCTGTCAACCACTGTGTTATAGACTTAAAATTTTCGAGTGAGTATAAACTTTAATAATTGCTTTGAAAAATCCATTTCTGAAAATTTACCTTATTTTGAATCAACATATATCTTCATCGTTATATTATACTTGTTGTGATTTATAGATTTATAATTTCATAACAGATTTAATATTAATGTACTATTTTTTTTTTGGTTATGTCTATCTGAAAGAGTTTTTTATGCTGTAATTTCTTGAATGTATTTTATGTTGATGTAATAAAATATATTGTAAGTTTCTATAAAGAAATAGTGTCTGGAACAAAAGTTGTAAGTTATGTTAAATAAAAAGAAAATATATGTAGATGGTTTTGAAAACATTCACTATATAGATATATTATGATATACTATATATCTTTGTCATACTGAAAAGCTTTTTTGTTGCCTTAAGATGATGAAACAGTTGTTTTTTGTTAAAAAAGTTTGATTTTTTTTAAAATCAACAATTGTAATTATAAAATATTTTACATATATGGCTTTATTAGCTGTGAAAACAAGCTGACATTTCACATTTGTGTAAAAATGTATATGCATGCTGTTATGTGTTATAATCACATGATATCATACATTTTTCTAAGCTTAATGTTGGAAACTCATCCACCAAGAATTTTTTTAATAGTTTGCTTAATGACATTGTATATCATGTTAGATGTGGATTTGTTCTTCATAATATTTTTTCAAGGTGTAAAATGATTAATAAAGAAAAAAAACTGTCAAAAAATAACCTCATAATTTTATTATTATTTCCCCTAATATAGTAATTTTACATAAACGTAGTTGTGTTCAAAAATGCATTATTTTTCATATGTTTCAATTTACTTTATTGACTTGTTTCAATAAAAGGGTATGACTAAAGTGCCTAGACAGTTGTGTCATTTAAAACATAGTATGATTTCTGACTGTTACTCTGCATCAGATAATAGTTAAATTTGTTTCATTTGTCACCATAATATTTACTTTAGTACCAACTGTATGGTAACCTTTTTCCAATTTGTATATGTATGTGTATATATATATCATATTAATGTTTATAATGATATGTAATTTTTTTTACATTAATTATTACTTATTTTTATCTCCAGGTATCTCTGAAAAACAACAGTTAATGATATTCCGCATCCTAGCAGCTATACTTCATTTGGGAAATGTCCAACTCTTAAGTGGTGGTGATTCTCAAGAAGATACAGAAAGTTCTTTAATTCCTGTAAGTGCCAAAAAGTTACATATGGTAAAAAACAGCTTTTATTATTTACTTGGAGTAAATGTTCACAGTAGCTAATTTATTTGTTCACACAAACTTAAGATATCTTAAGTTTGTGTTAACAAATACAAGTGTTTGGTACATCTTAAGTTTGTGTTAACAAATACAAGTGTTTGGTACATCTTAAGTTTGTATGAACAAATACAAGTGTTTGGTACATCTTAAGTTTGTGTGAACAAATACAAGTGTTTGGTACATCTTAAGTTTGTGTGAACAAATACAAGTGTTTGGTATGTACCAAACACTTGTATTTGTTCACACAAACTTAAGATGTACCAAACACTTGATTTGTTTTTTCTTCAGGAGGAAGATCCTCATATTCTTATAATGTCAGAACTTTTAGGGATTGACTGTGATCAGATGAAGACATGGATTTGTAATCGCAAGATACAGAGTATGAGGGAAGTTTTCACAAAACCTTTATCAGCAGAGCAGGTATTAAAAAGTTTGATATGCTGGGGCAAATTTTAGTGATATGATTTGTAAATATTAATAATTTCTAATATGCCTTTTGTTTGGTGTATAAGAGTTTAAAAGACTTGTAATAATGATGTGTAAGCCATTTACTACTTGTCAAGCTATTTGAAATTTTATTAATAGTGTGTACTTCATATGATATTTTTCATTATTATAAAAGGAGTCTATAGTACCTTGAAATTCATTTATTTTTTAATAGTATTTCAGATTTTTAAATATCCTTAATATTTTTACTACAAATATGGTAATGTTTTGAAAATTTATGAACATGTGTTTAGTATAATAATATCATGATTTTTAAAATTCACATAGTGTAAATTTTTTAAAATTGGGAACACAAACCATTTTCATTTTGATCTACATTGAAATTACTTCTATAAGATTGAGATTTTGGTGTGTTGCATTCCATGTGTGGATTAAATTTCATAACTACTAACAAGTTTTTGTGTTTGTAATGTGTCATGGGTTGAATATTTAATATCATTGTACTGAAATATTTGCTTAGGATGCTTCTATTAATGTTGTTATGAACTATATATTTGGTGCATGTTTTCTATCCTAGGCTTTATTCGCCAGAGATGCTCTTGCAAAGCACATTTATGCTCATTTATTCGACTGGATTGTGTCTCATATTAATAGGTGCCTGGCAGCAACACAGAAGCACCATAAATTCATTGGTGTATTAGATATTTATGGGTTAGTTTTTATCATTTAAAGTGCTGTTTGATAAAGTGAAATATATGGTTCTTTGTAGTAAAGATAATTCATATCTCATCTGCAAAATACATGGAACTTAAAATGTCTGAAGAAAGAATTGTACTATTTTATTAAAACGTTAAAAGTATGCATAAAACTGTTGTTTTCACTTTTCTAAAGATACACAAAGTTAAGATTATATGTTTCTTAGTGAGTTGCTTAGTTTCTGGCAGGCTGATTTTCAATTTAAACAGTGAATCATATAAAGACCTACTATAAGTATATGTATAATGTTTTAGTTGACTTTTACTCACCACAGTGAACCTATGTTTATATAGAATTTGAAGAATGTACAGCATTGATGCTAATTTATTTTTCTGAATTATTCAGCAGACTAGCTGTTTAAAATAGCCAAAATTAACAATCTAAGTAGTTTATTTAACACACTTTTTAATTGAAATGTACACTTTAATCTGCATGAAGCCTTAATAGCTTATTAATGAATGTATAATGATGTAAAATGTTTCAAGTATTATTTGAGTATTTTCTGGACAGAATTTAAAAATAAAGTGACAATGAATTAGTAAAATAATGTGTATTCTTATTAGCTTTTAATCTTTTGGAACTAAAAAAAATAGTGTAAATGGATGAGAGATGAATGTTAGTTTTAGGATTTTTTTACGATTAGCTTTGCTTTGGAATCTAGAAAAGAATCATTTTTATGATATAAGACTATGTTGATTTTTAATTGTGTCGATTTGTAGGAAATATGTGTTAATATTGTCTCTGTGTTTGAGTAACAACATCAACTTCTAGTTATTGCTGTTTTACAGGTTTGAAACCTTTGAAATAAACAGTTTTGAACAGTTTTGCATAAATTATGCTAATGAAAAGCTACAGCAACAGTTTAATTTGGTAAGTTGATTGAAAATATAAATAATTTTTGAATACTAAAGATCTAATAAGGCAGTGTATTTAAACTGCATATTATTGAAGAATTATTTTTTACAACTAGGTTGTGTGAATTTCAGTGAAGATGACATAGAGGCTTTTATCTATTTTTTTGTTCACTATTTCCACATAAAGTATTTTAGGTTATTAGTGGTGAGTAAAGGTTTATACATCAAAGCAAAAGAACTAGGCTATGTAGTTATGAGCAATAGTATAAATGTAACGTGATAATAGGTTTTGTATCTACAATGACTTATCAGTAGTTTTACTGCTTGAGTTGCATGTAATATACTTTGCTCCAAGGACAGTATGAAATGAAATGTTGAGAAATAGCAGTTTATTTTTCTTGAATTTAGGCTGTTTCTTTTGTACTAAATCCCCCAATATTAAAAAGTATCCCAATGTAAGGTCATAGAAGTAGGATCTTTGTGATCACTGAACTGCTTTTGACCTAAATATGTACTTTCATTTTGGTGGCTTGTTTCCCACATGTGTCTTAAGCAGTTTATCAATTTTATTGTTTCAAAACCTCAGCCAGTTGATAATAACTGGAAGACTGTAGTCTAATATTTTTAATTAAATTGTAGAGATAGTTTCAAAGATGTTATACATTGTTAAAATTGAGCACTTTGTGTTTCATGCAATGACATTGATATTTGTATATAAGGTACAGATCGTACATTTTTGTGGTAGGGAATATTATCCTTTTGGAACCACATATTGGACTGTTGAATACAAATGTCCTTTAAAACATGTTTAGGAACTCTTCATGGACATTAAAACAAACAATAACTAAACACTTAGGCTCAATGTGTAGAATGGAAACAACACTAGATTCTAACCTTTACAATTGTTACATGGCATTTATGGTCAGAGTGTTCACTTGCTTGATTTGTAATCCACATTCAACAATCACTTCTAAACTAGGTGATGACTCTTAAGATTTCAGTTCTGACAGGCATTAAACAAACCTGTTGTTCAAAGTGGTCTTGAAAATTATGTACAGTTTATATATCCATGCTCTTTGAAAGTATCCAAATTCATGGAGAATCTACTGCACCAACCTCTTAGATTATCCATTTTTATAGATAGCCACACTGAATTCAATACAGTCACTGTAAATTTGTTGCAAAGATATTTCCAGCACTTTTTCACAATCTTATCAAGTACACATTTGTCATGTATTGACTGAAATTTTAGTTGCTAGATGTTATATCATGAAGTTCCCACTACTTGTTGGATGTTCTCATTCACAGTAATATAACCAAGCATTGCAGTTACATGATTTATATATTTTACACATTTCATTTAATCATTCGTTTCTCTAATTATTGTAATTCAAAACATTTTGGTATATTACGCATACTCAGACATTAAATACTAATCAATGTATTTAGCATATGTATGCTGTTTACACTCGCAGTTTTCTTGGTAGTAAAAATCATGTCACATATTAATTTTTGTGGAGTGATGTATATAGCATTTATGAACTGTTTTTCAGTTTAAAACTGTTTTCATTGTAATATATAATCAAAAGAATATATATTCTGGGTCTATCCAATATTTTATAAAACTTAAGGTGTGCTTTGCAGACAAAACATCTTGACTACGGTTTTATATTTACTGATAATTATTCTAAACATATACAGTTGTACATTTTTCTTGCAGCATGTGTTCAAACTAGAACAAGAGGAATATGTACGAGAACAGATAGAGTGGAAATTTATTGATTTCTATGACAACCAACCATGTATAGACTTAATTGAAAGTAAACTAGGTATCCTGGATCTTCTAGATGAAGAATGTAGAGTAAGTAAAATTATGCACTGAATACTTGTACTTGCATTTTTGCTCAATCCACTTGAGCTTGTGGCATTAATCTTGACTAGCAGTTGTCTGTTGTAAAATACTGAGTTTACTGTTAAAACAAAACACAGAAAATAAACTAAAAGCTTTTTCAAATAACTTAATCCACTTTTTGAGTGTAATAAAAAAGTAGTAAAATGTATAATTCCAGAGGACAATAAATTTAGTTTATTATTAAGTTCTATTTATGATTTGTGTAGAAAATTCCTTCTAATTTTATAATGTTATAATACAAATATTTACAGTAATATTGACTATTTCTGGGTTTTGCATTTTCCAAAAGTTAAGAAAATAAACTGTTTGGCATTGATTTTCAGTTTTTTAAACATTGTATTGACCTTAATTGATAAAAAAAAAAGACAAAAGATATGGACTATAATTTTAACAAAAAAAGGCTTTTCCAACTTGAAATAAAAATTAGTTTTGGAGAACAGAATACTTCTTGCAAAACGAAACATAAAAACATTATTTTTCTTCTAGATGCCAAAAGGTTCAGATGGAACTTGGTGCAACAAATTGTATGACAAGTGTAAAAAGTGGAAACATTTTGAAAAACCTCGATTGTCAAATATATCATTTATAATTCACCATTTTGCAGACCATGTTAAATATGAATCTGCAGGGTTTCTTGAGAAGAACAGGGACACAGTTATGGCAGAACACATCAATATCTTGAAAGCTAGTCATGTAAGTAACTGATCAGATGTTGCATTTTCTTCTCATGCACATTTCTTTGATTTTGAGGAGCATCTGTTAAAGAGCAGGTGTTATCCTTTGTCTAACAGATTAGCACAAAAAGCTTAACTTCAAACATGCCTTAACCTGAAAAAAAAAATAAAAAAATTAACTTTGTTTGATGCAAACTGGATATTATTTCTAGACATAATTGTAAATTATATAATGACCTATATCTCCGGAATGTATTTCTATTAGTTCAGTACTTTGCCATTACAGCTTCTTCAAGAGTTATTTATAACCTATAAGTTCACTAACATTGAAACTAAATTGGAACAATGTTATCAGTTAAACAAACGTTAACCTTCTTGCTACAGGCAGGTCAAAGTGTGCATGTCACAGCATTTTAGAGAGTTACATTCAAAATTCTATTCAACTACTTATTATCATGGTACGTAAAAAAAAGTTGGCATAAAAAATGTAGTGAGTTAATCAAATTTTAATATTATATAAGTTTTAAGTTCTAAATTTTATAAGGAAATATTTTTAAAAAATCTGCAGTCTCACCCTAGTATGAGAATTATGACATTTACTCTCTACTATAATTTATTTACAACCAGTCCAAGACTTACAGAATTTAACAACATTACTCATTATATTGTGCTATCACTTGGGCAAAGCATAATTTTTATAGCCTTCAGTCCTATTTGGTTACAGAACCATAAAATAGAAAATCAGACCCCATTTGCCATGCCCACCTGTCACATCCTGTCTTTCAGAAATTGCATTTAATACTACATTATTTATAACCAATAGAAAGCCAAAGTTTTAATCTATCAAATGACATATTGTATTATTTTGTTTTCTGTACAGAGAATTGTCTGTTTGCTCACATTTGTCTATTTTGTCACATAATTAGAAAGTCAGAAAAATTGTGATAGTTATGGGACATTGTCTGCTTTTTGCACGTTATTATTCTGTGTTCTTTGGGGCATTATTTAATTAAAATAAAAAATTATTTAGTGTAGTAGTACCATAAATATAAAAAAGTACAGTTAAGTTTCATCAACAATTGACAGCAAAAAAAGAAGATCCAGGTAAGTATTATATTTCTTGTTTATCATGTGTATTCTTTATTTATTATTATAAAAGTAACTAAAATTTAAAAATTAGCAATTTATTATATTATATAAAGTTAGATTAGGTAAGATAAAGATAAAAATAATAATAAATTTTACAGAGGTATGCTCACAAGTAGCTCATGCTTTACATAATTCAATATGGTAACATGAGCTACATCTTTGCCAAGTTATTTACAACTTATGTGGTGATATTAGTTACACACAGTTCAAAGGGCATTAAAATTTAAGTAGAAACAGATGTATATGTTACGAGTTTTAAACTACTTAGGATCAACAAATGTTGTTTCATGTTACAATTAGTCCTTCCAGAATGAAAAAAGAGTAATTAAAATTTGTTTTTCTTATTTGCGGTGGTTATGAGGTTGGTCAAATTGTCCAACCTCATATAAAGTTAAGGTGAAGAAACTTACAGATAAAATATAGAGTTTTGCTGGGGAAAAAAACGTTTGAAATTTATATAGGAGGTTTTAGAAATTATGCAAATAAAATTTGATAATTTTTATATGTAGACAAGTATTTTTAATCTTAACATGAAAATCACTTTGCACTTGGAGCACTCAGCACTCTTACTCCATATATTTAAGGACAATTTTAATTAAGATATTCGATTTTTTATGTAGAAAAACTTGTAATGTTTACCGAAAGACTACCAAATTTCATGAAGATACACCTACCATATTAAAAGTTATAGTGTAGAAACTCTTATGGCTACTTTGTGGTTACAGCGTTGGTCACATTGACTGACCCTGGATAGAAAGAGTTAAGAGATTGATGTTCAAATCCAACTTTTTGATTGGAATAACCCAAAACGAGTTGGCATTGAGGGAGGGGCTGTTTAATAGTTGCTTTCCCTCTAGTCCATTGGATCAAAGTTAGGGATGGTTAACACGTATAGCTCTTTTGGAGTTTTGAATAAATATTCAGTTAGCTTGATGTAAATAAGTGTTCAATTTTCTTTTATGAAATGTAATCAAATCAAACATAAGGAGAACAATTTTCTAGTTTTGTGGAATTGATATCTTTAAACTAGTGCTTGGTGTTTACTTTTTTGAATAAATATTTATACATCAATTTTTATTGGTCCACATTGACTGATGTTTCTTCATTTTTCCATTGCACAGCTTAACCTTTGTTATAGTGCAAATTAATATATTTTTTTTTTACTGGAGTGACATCCCATGTGTTTTTTGTATGGAGAGCTTTTTTAAGTGAATTAAGCTATTTGAAAATTATTAAGTAAACTTCTTTGAAAGTCTATAGAAAAAGATTGAAAGAAAAATTAGAATATGTTTGAATCTCCTTTGATGTCACCTTATTGAAGCAAGTAAAATTCTCCAAAGCTTTTCCTTTTAACAGTATAAAGATTTATAAAAATGGAAAATTTCTTCAAATATCATACGTAATTTAATTAAATTGTTTGCTAGTTTCTAGATATGAAATATTATCAATAATTTTAAGGGAAAATAATATCTAGTTGGAATGAAGATGTGAAACATTATGTTGCTTGAAGAGTTTGTACAATACTTACACCAAACATTGTAATGTTTAAAATATAAATTAGATTTTTTCATGTATTTGAGATTAAGCAGTATAATCTTCTGTAAGCTATAATCATATAGTGTTTTAAAATAAATATCGTCCTTTGAAATTTCAGTTTGAATTAGTGGCAGAACTTTTTGAAGAAGAGAATAAAAATAAGAAATTAAAACCGGTTGCTCAAGTTAGATCTGCAGCACCATCAGCTAAACCATCTGACAAGCAGCACAAAAAAACTGTGGGATCTCAGGTACATTTATTTTTTTTGGTCGGTTATAGGAATTAAATACGTTTCTTTAAAATGTAAAATAATTTGGTCTTTTGTCATATTAATGTTAAAAAAACAAATATTATTTGTTAATTTTAACGAGACGAATTTGTTTTCACATTTTTTATCATAAGAAAAACAAATGTTAGTCTGTTTAAAAAATGTAAGGTCTTTAAATATATAGTTTTTGTATCAAGTTAATAATTAGTTTTAAATTGTTTTCTTATTATTCTTTCAAAATAATAAAATAATACTCTCAGCTTAACTTTAAAATATAGGGTGTCCAAGTATTTTGTAAACAATTTTGAAAACCATACCTGGGAAATGAGTTAACATAGAGTCACATGGTTTATGGCATTTGCAAGAATAATCTGTAAAGTGTTTTTACAGCATACAGACATAAACATGCGAGACAGTCCTAAAGTGGACATTTGGGTAGCAATCATTAATAACACTATCATTAGTCTGTTATTTTTTGTAGAGGCAATTGTTATCTGAAACAGTTACCTTGACATACAGTACTGTGCAAAAGTGTTAGGAAAAAGTACAAACAGTTAATATCTTGTGTGCCTCCCATTTGCTTTAATAACTGCAGACAGTCTTTCAGGCATTGTAGCAACATATTTAATCAAAGTGTCCTTTGGGATTTAACTACAAATGTCTCTAAATATTCCCATAAAGTTTCTTTGGAAGTAACTTTTGATTTGTAAAGTTTTTGATCTTTCAAACCCAGGTTTGCTCAATTAAGTTGATATTGGGGGATCTATGGGGACCATTCATCCTCTGAATGACTCCATCAGCTTTTTTCTTAGCTAAGTAATTTTTGCCTAGGTTGGATGTGAATTTGGGGTCATTATCTTCTTGGTAGTAGAATTCTTTACCAATAATATACAAACCACTGGGTATACCATGATGGATCAGTATCTGATGTTTCTTGCACTGATCCATTATTCCGTCTGTTTTGCAAATATCTCCTGCCGTCTCACCAGAAAAACACCCCCAAACCATCACACTGCCTCCCCCATACTTCATGGTTGGTGCTATGCATTGAGGTAAGTACCTTTCACCTTTCTTTTGCGGGACGAACAATCTACACTTTAAACTAGATATTTCAAACTTGGATTCATCCTTCCATAACACACTTTTCCAATCATCAACAGTCCAGTTTTGTAATTTTTAGCAAATTTCAGTCTCTTGACAATATTTGGAGATCAAAGTAAAGGTTTTTTAACTGCTACACAACCAAATATTCCATTCTCGTTGAGCCTTCTTGATACTGTAGATTTGGACAATTTTCTGTCATTTGGTACATGGTCATTTATCTCATGCTTGATATTGGTGGCAGTCTTCCTTCTGTCCCAAAGACTGCATAAACAAAGATACTTAACATCAGTATCATTGAGTTTAGGTGTTCTGCCTCTTCCTTTCTTATTTTCAAACTTACCTGTCTCAGTTTCACAATCTAGGGTTTACCTGACATGGTTTGGGGAGCATTTCAAGTCTGCAGCAATTTGTCAGAGAGTCCAGCCAGTATAATGTAAAGCTTTTATGCGAACTCTCTGCTCTACTGACAATTCTCTGTTTTTTGGGCTGTGACATGACAACAAAATTTAATATATAGTGTAAAACACTGTTTTTAGTAAGGGTTATTTGTTGGGGGCTATTGAATTGATTTATTCTAGCATATACCGGTACCATATGCTAGCTCCTTGCTAGTTTCTGTCTATATAGTAAGAAACTGCATGGGGTACCATATCAGTTATTTCAGACCCTAAATTTGATCAGTATGTTCATTCAAGCAGAACCTTTATGACGTGCCCTTGGTACAAGTATATGGGAATTCTAAAGAATAAGTATTCTCACCCTGGCTCATTCAATTGTCAACAGGGATTAGTGAAGCATTACTATAGTGTTGAAATTTACATTCTGTAATGGCATGGAAGAATTAACCCCATAAAATGGAAAGAATGACAAAATATTCTCTTGTCCTGTACTTCAGAATTTTACTTTGTCACAGTTAGAAATACTACAATTTAACAGTACCAGCGAGTTGTTATCAGTAAGGATGAATTGAATCAAGAAGGTTTCACAAAAGTTACTTCTGCTATGTTGCAAAACACTTGGCAGGAGATTGCATATAACTCATGGTACTCATGTTGAATTATTGTGGGATTAGAAACAAACTAAACATTATTCTTACACATACAACAAACTATGTCTCTGTGTTAAATGGTTATCCCAGTATGGTATTTCAAAAGTGTTTCCAGAATTATTTGACATTCTGTACATAATTTAATATTAGCTCTCTGTCACTTAGTGAAATAAAAAGATAATTTTATACTTGTGTAATAAATCATTTATGGATATGATTAAATTTTTTATTAGAGTACTTATCATATAGTTTGACTCAGAATTTAAAAATGCAAAAATTACTTTGTTAAAGTAGTATATTTTAATGCACCACAGTTTGATGTAAAACACCAGATTTTTCTATTTTTCATTTGCATTGTTCAAGAATGAAAAGTGAAATAATTTGAATCTATCAGCACTTTAAGATATCAGTGAAAAGCTACTAGGGTGATTGAACAGTATCAACCTTTTTTCACATCAATATTAAAAGGGAAAATATCAATCAGTTTCATTTTGTTTTATTCAGTTTCGAGATTCGCTTGCATTACTGATGAGTACCTTGAACTCCACTACTCCCCACTATGTCCGCTGTATTAAACCAAATGATGAAAAATTAGCATTTACTTTTGAACCTCATCGTGCAGTGCAACAGCTGAGAGCTTGTGGTGTTTTAGAAACTATTCGTATTAGTGCAGCTGGATACCCATCAAGGTTTGCAGTTCTTTTAATAATTGTACACGGACGTATCGATATATCACTAACTATGTATTAGTGTTTTTATAACATCAAGGTTTACTGATACATTGAGAGTGTATAAGCTTTTCCAGATACTCTAAGGTTTATTGATTCAGTCAGTGTGTATCAGTATCTCTTGATATCAAGTTAAGATTATTAGTTTGAGAACAATCAACAAGTGCTTGTGTCTATCTGTTATTAAAGGTTTGTAGGTTTCAAGTATATATCAGCACTCTTGTTGTAGGTATATTAGTGTTGCTGCCCATTCTTCAGAATTTATGAAATATATTATGTAACTATTCCTCCCCCCCCCTCCCCTGTCTGTGGTAAATGACCGCTAGATAGACCAACCTGAGCTGTGAAGTTCCTTTTCTTTTTATTTAATTAAGAGTTTAGCCTGAATTTTTAGTATTAGAAAATAACTCATCATCATACTTGCTAGTTTGTGAAAAGCTTTAGGTGAAGTGTATTTCTTTTTTTATCCCTATCATAAATACAAAATTAAGATTATATATCCAAATTGAAAAATATTATTGTCAACACCACTCCTTACAGTTTTACTGATACAAGATAAAAGCTAAAGTAACTTAAATTAACATTGCACTAAAAAAGAAATCATTTTTTCTTGACTGAACACTATTGAGAGGCATGTTTTTGCAATAAAGTGTTTGTTTTTTTTAATTAACAGATTGAGCCCTTTGTCAGAGCACATTTTTTTAAATTCTAACTTAAATACTGGATACTGTGACACCTCTGTATCCCACCAAATCCTCATACTTTGGTCTTCTCATTGACTCACAAACTGAGTGTTGATATGATAAGTTTTTAAACTGTAAGAATTTGCATAGAAATTGGAGGTGAAAGAAATCTTGTTTTACTGAAGTATAAACCTGCAAGCATAAAACACTCAAAGTAATGGGTGAAGTGTACATGATGTTATCAACCCAAAATTTTATCATGGCTTCATTAAATTGCAGAATGTATTAACACTGATTTACTTAAACTAGAGGAATTAATGGCTGTGATAAATTATTTTATTGTGATATAACTGCTTCTCTTCTGTATTTTACATGTAAGATGGACTTATCAGGACTTCTTAAGGAGGTATCGGGTCTTAGCAAAGTCTAAAGATATTAAACGAACAAATATGAAAGCAACCTGTCAGAAAATTTTAGAAAATGTGATCAAGGTAAGTTTTTATATATTTCACGAGTTTTTTTAATGCAGGAGGAAAATTGAATTATTTATGTTGTTATAGTTTTATTACAGAAAATACATTTAAACACTTGTATTATTAATGAGTTAAGAAGGCCCAAAAATATTTAGAAGATTAATTTATCAATCATAATTTTATTTTATATACATGAAGTTAGTTTTCACACAAAAGTATTATGAAGAACTTTGTATCATTTTCTCTCTAGTACAGGATGCAGAATTCTCTCAGATACTAAATATAAAACTTGTACAAGTAAAATACTTCAAAAAGATATAGACAAAACAAGCTATTGCATCCAGAATCTTAGCATATGTATTTATAATATTTGACTAAGTACAATTTGATGAATTCAGATATACAAATCTGACCCTATATTTGGGTTGTTGTTTTTTTTTCTTGGGTTCTTTGTGCTTGTTATTTTGTGATTTAAGTTTCATATTTTAAATTAATAAAAATTAAGTAAAGTATTAACAAAAACCTTATCAAAAACTAGGATTAACTTTTATTGAGATTTTAATTGCAAAAAAACGTACAATACCCACACATAAGTACTAAATTTATTGGTTTCTATGTATATTTTTTAGAAACTGATATTAAAGTAATTAACATGTAAAAAATTAGAAACTTATTAGATTAGATATGAAAACTTAAAGTCAGAAAAATTGTGATAATTATAGGACATTATTTATTTTTTGCATGATATTATTCTGTGTTCTTTGGTGCATTATTTAATTTAAAAAAATGATTTACTATAGTAGTACCGTTAATATAAAAAAGTATGGTTAAGTTTCATCGACAATTGACAGTAAAAAAAAAGATCCAGGTAAGTGTTATATTTCTTGTTTTTCATGTGTTAGATAAGGTTAGATTAGGCGAAATAACAAATAATAATAAATAAAATTTGTTGTGAGGTATGCTCAAGTGTAGCCTGTGTGTTATATAATTCAATAGGGTAATGTGAGCTACAAGTTCAAGTGATCTGCAGCTTTAATGGAGCAACTATTAGTTAGACATGGTACAAAGGGTAATAAAACAATAAAACTTAAGTATAAATAGATGTATACTGTTACAAGTTTAAAGCAATAAGGATAAACAAATGTAGTTTCATTTTATTTAGTTAGAATTTGAAGTCATTCTAGAATGAAAAAAGGGTAACTAAGATTTTTGTTTTTATGGTTGTTATGATGTCAATCAAATTGACAAACCTCGTATAGAGATAGGGTAGAGGAAATAACAGATACAATATAAGTTGTTACTGAAGAAAAAATGTCTGACATTTATTTAGGAGGTTTTAGAAGTTACGCAAATGAAATTTGACGATTTTCAGATGAAAAAAGGGTATTTTTAACCTTAACATGAAAGTCACTTTGCACTCAGAGCAGTTAATTAAAAATTCTGATTTTTTTTGTCTACAAAAGACACTTTATTTTTAATTAAAGCTTGCAAAATTACATTAAGGTACACAAAACATATTAAAATTTGTATTGTAAAACTCTAAAGGTCAATTTGGGGTCAATGTTTAGGTTGAATCAACTGATCCCATAGCAAGAGAGTTAATAGAAATAAGATTGGTTCGTGTAGTTACAGATCAAAATTTCTGAGCTTTTTAAGATATTGCACTTATTAAGTATCATCATGACCCCTTTATGTAAGAAGTCTTGATGATAAGAAAATGAACATTCATTTAAATATTAAAATTTATCTGCTAAATGGTAATGATGATCATAGTAACGTTAATGTTGAACGCTTATTCTTCAGATATCTATATGAATGTAGGTTATTTGTAGTGAGTAAATTACAGTTTAGATATCATACACATGTACTGTAATTCACATCTACAAGAAACCCATTTTTATACATTGGTTTCCCTTTTTCCAGTTTTACTTATGAAGGTGTAGAATACTCCAGGAATGGACCAGCTCACCCTTTTTGCTGTTGTTGTTCTCAAAATTAAGTTTTCATAATTAGGAAAAGTTGCATAAATTCCTCCAATATTATCCTCACAATAGCTTAGTCTAAAGACATTAAGAATAAAGCAGGCAGTGAATAAATGACTATATATTTATCATTGCGTTGAGTGTGTTTTTACTATTTGGAGATTACAAATTCAGTAATAGTTCCTCATTATTATTCAGTTTATGATAGTTTTTATTCCCATGTTCCTCTATTGACTTGTACTTATTTCTTTAATTAAGAAAAACCATTCTTAACAGAAAAAACATTTGTTATAGAGATAATGATAAGACCTGAAGTACAAAATCTTGCATAATTTTTTAATTAGTAATAGTGAATTTTACTGTCTGTAAGTGATATTTCTACATTCTTTGCAATTCTGTAGATAATCTTCTGTGTTTATGTTTGCTGTAATAATGGCTTATTATAAAAATGTAAATCAGATTTAATTACATCAAATAATTTGTGGGAATTTTCAACTTAATAATTTAATGTGTGAAGTATATATATAAGAAGTATAAGCTTGGAACTTCCATCATGTTTTGTTAAGTGTCGTATATGTGAAAGAACAAAAAGATAATCTTCATTTGGGACTATATTTCCCTCATTTTTTTTAGTGTTACTTGTATATTTTAATCGGGGTAATGGTGTACAACCTCTATTTTATAATCACATGTAATCATTTAATTGCTTCTAATTAATTGTTTCATTTTTTGTCCAGCAACATGATATGTTTGGGAAAACAGTAAGTTGATGTTTAAATTTCATGTGCTCATTTCTATTCTGCATGATGAAAATTACTCTCTTAATTTCTTCATTGTGTCTTGTTTTTAAAATGAATTGTTTTTGTGTACCATATATTGAATTTTAGGAATATAAAAGGTACATATATATATAGCCAACTAAGTAATCAAATTCAAAAACAAATATAATAGCAACTGCTATCATCTCTTAGAATACCATCACTGTTGCTACAACATTCTTGCTTCATAATTATACAGTGTTATATTACCTTTTTTGTACTTTGTTAGTTTACATATAAATAGCTCAATTTACCCTTAATGTTATTGTCACACTAATTCTGTCATCTAGTGTTCTTTTTCGTACATTTTGATACTGCATTGTTAACATTGAGAACCAAACTGTTAAAAATCACAAACATCTTCCAGTCTGTGTAAGTGACTGTTAACCACTTGTTCCTAAGTTTCAAAGTTGCTAAACTTTATGAAAAGTTTCACTTGACTTTGTTCAATGACTCAGAGATTCAACAGGAAAGATTTTGCAGGAAATCTTTAAATGATGAGATCACAAGGTTCACAAGTAATTCTCTTATTCCTTATTTTCTGTTACTTAAATTTGCTCCATTCTACAGAATGTTTGGGACATTCTTGCAGCTAATGTTACCAACTGGCTCAGTGGGAGCTTGATGACTTATAATGCAAGAATTTGAGATTTGATCCCCACAGCAGACACAACAGAGATAATTCTTCAGTATCTTTACATTTAAACAAAAACAAACATGAAGCTTATATGTAAAATGTATCTACACTTGCATCTTTCTATATATATTAAATGCATTATTTGTTTGAAAGTGAAACAAAGGTTTTATATTCAGGTCATGACTCTTGTTGAAGTTACAATAGTTTGTTATTGCTTGTCAAAATGCATGTTTGAAATAATTTACTCAAATGATCATTCACCAGCCTAGTTTGGTAATGGTGCTTTTTAATGATTTCAAGTCATAACTAGGGATTAACTCAATATTTTATTCTATTTATCAACTTACCTTTTTGACTGCTGATACAATGAACAGTACAAAGGATTGCTTGAGAGAGTATGAAATATTCTTTTTAAATCCAAGTCAGGTAAGCAGACTGTGTGAAGAAGTACACAATATCATGTTAGAGCTAAATTCTAATTAAAAAAAAATCTGGATGAAAGCAATTGTAGATTTTAAATATTCAATTTTGTTTCAATGTGTACTAATAAAGAAAGTTGTAACAGCTATGATTTTTATGCTTTAACAGGAAGAAGACAAATTTCAGTTTGGAAAAACAAAGATTTTTTTTAGAGCTGGTCAAGTAGCATATCTGGAGAAATTGCGAGCAGATAAGCTCAAAGCATGTGCTATAATTGTCCAGAAACATATACGTGGCTGGTTGCAACGATACCATTATCTTCAGATAAGAAAGGCAGCCATAGGAATTCAGAGATATGCACGAGGTCTTCTTGCTAGAAGGTTAGTTATAAAGTTAATACAATATTTTAGAAATGTTCTTCTTTCACAAATGATAAGAGAATTTATTAGAAAATCATAGAATTACATTAATATCCTTCATCATCATTACTTTTATGTATTATTAAACATCAAATTGCTATGAAAACTATACTATAGATGATTTTTTTACATTTAAAACTGAGGTGGAATGAAACTTATTATTTTCTTGTAATTATTATTAACTTCTGATCAAAGCAAGCTATCTATATAGTTCACAACTAAAAATTAACCATATAATTAATGTTTCTAATTTAATATACAAATTTAACAAGGAGCATGCAATGTTATTAAACAAAAACTAATATAATATAATAATATACACAGAATTATACATTGTGATGAAATCTGATTCTTGAAGATAATTTATCTCATGTGGGTTCCAGGCTGGCAGAATTCCTGCGACGAACATGGGCTGCTACTGTGATCCAGAAATATGTCCGAGGTTTTATTGGGCGGAGGAGATACCAAAGGCTTCGTTACACTGCACTCAGAATTCAAACACATGCACGAGGAATGTGGGCAAGACAGAAATTCCAGGAGATGCGACGTAATGCAGCAGCTGTTATCATACAGGTAAAGTTATTGATAATTTTCTCATTAGTAAAATTTTCAGTAATGCCATTTAAATTCAAGGTGTTAATGATGAGCTTATACAATTTAATAAGAAATTAATACTCTTATACTTCATTCAAATGAGCAATGTAATACTCTGTTAGGCAAAACAGGTTTATTTTTTAAGAAGGAAAACCTAATGTCCATCCAAACATACATTATGTCTCATGTGGAAAAAATCTGCCGTTTTTCTATGAGTGTTCTGAAGTGATACTGACATAACATACAGTTTTGTAGATCTTGTAAGATTTTGTTATGTGACTTAACTCTTTTAGTGGCTGCTTTTTCTTGGGACAGAAATCAACCTTGTGGATACTTTTCTCCCTTCTTAACTATAATGATACTCTTTTTGTAGAAGTTTTACATTTGAATTGTGACTGTTCAAATACCTAATAGTTTACATTTGTGTCGCATGTGCTGAAGCAGATGGCTGAGGCAGAAGTTAAACACTATTACCACGATTCTTTTCTCTTTCCTCCATGAAACACAGAACTTGTATCAAATGTAGGAATGAGGAAATGGCGTTTTAGTAGCCTACTTGGCTTTGATGATGTATTTGCGCATGGATTTTGACGTCGTGTTTTTGCCACCTTTTGAGACAAATTCTATCAGATTTATGATAAAAATCAAGTCTTATAAACTTTTGCTAATTTCATAAGTTGAATCTTAACGTATCACAAATTGTACTTTTATCCACATCTTGTACATGCCTTCATTTAATGGGAGTGGCCATTTTTGTTGAAACTTGTTAAAGGGATTATGAAGACATTTATTTCAGGACAAAAGTTGATATGGGTACCATGTCTGAGTGAACAAGGAAATAAGTGTGTGTGTGTGTGTATATATACGCAATTCCTGCCCACTTAATGGGTTAAGAGAGATATAGCATAAAAATAAATGAGCATTAAATAATGATTTTAAAAGTACAGCTCGTGATGAAAACATTATTTATTAAAAGAGAACTGATTTAAGAGGAGATCATGTGTTTCCAAAACTTTAATATATTATAATAGAATATAAGACTATTTGAAGTATCCTTATAGATTAATGTTATTTTTCTTTAATATAATTAAAATCACTCCAATTAAAATTGACTAATAGCAAAATTTCAAGTTTTTGTAGTCCAGATTCATCAGTTATTACTAATTCATTTCTTCATTCTTAACTCTTAATTATACTAGGAAATTTAATATATTTTTTTTTCCTGAATAAAATGTTTTATAATAATAGAAGTTACATGCTTATGAAAATGTCTCTACAATATACAATAACCTAATATTAGAACTTAACATTTCTGAATCATTCTTAATTTCATGTTTTACTGTTTCTTGGAAATTATAGGCAATGATTTTTTTTACTCATTTTAAGCATCTCCAAATGTTTATGTTGTAAAAACTTGCCATCTTTTTAGTAATGTTTTTTTAGTCTAAATATCAGTCAATCTAATGTCTCACATGTCAGACATTTAAAACACAGAGTCTCAAGTAACTGTTACTATAATATGTATTATTTTCTTATAGAAACATGTGCGTGGCTGGCTGGCAAGGAAACGGTATGATAACACTATAAAACGTATCATTACTGTCCAGTCATGTATTCGGCGGTGGTTTGCTAGGCGGGAGCTGAAGAAATTAAAGGTTTTTTTTGTTTTTTAATATATACTACTTGCTATGATCTAATTCTTTCAGTATGTTTGATTTTATAATATTATTCAGTAAAATCAAGGTTCATGCATGTCCTAGAGAATTTTAAGTGTACGAGAGATACATTAGAACTTTTGAAAACTGAGACATTTTGAGTTCATATTTTCCACATCGTCTGGAAAATTTCACTTAGTCCTTTAAAAAATGTTTAGTTTTTACAAATCTAAGTTTTACAAATGTTTTGAAGATTTTTTAATTTTATTCTTTCCAAAATCAGTATTTATAGGGTCATTATTTCTTCATTTAATGCCACTTTTATAATAATGTGTGTATGCTTTGCTAAAGTAAACTTTAATGTTAATACACTATTATTGGAATATATTTTGTTCTGCATTTCTCAAACTTTCAAAAACAAAGTAATATTGGAGTTATGCTGGTTGAAGTCTTTGTATTTAGACTGCATTGTTGACTGTAAGCTTCTTTTGTGTACAGCATTTAACATAATGATTATATTATCAAACCCATTTAAATATTTGAACAGTCATAACTGGAAGAATAGGACTGTTTAATTATATCAAACTTCTGTTTAAATTAGGGCTCTGCTTTTGTTTTCTATTAATGTAATGGTTTGTCTGTTTGTAGTCATTTATTTTTATGTCCATGCTTGCTCTTAACGAAAATATGCCAAATGTCATAAATAAGACATACATGCCTTTCTTTTAAGTTGATTGTAGTATAGATGACCCAAAACACCAGACAAATACACACATTAAAATAAGCAATATTTCACTAAGAATTAGTCTTTTATTACTTTAATGAACTTTAGTTTCAGTGATGTTTATAGTTATAAGTGTATAAAGTAAACATATCTTACCATGAGTCAAGCATATATCTTGCAGAAATTGAAATTGTTAGGAAGTTTTAAAATTGAAAGTAATTGTATTTTGTAAAAAAAATCCTTTTCTTACTTTTAAGATGTCAAAGTGCCATTGTGTTTAGTCTTAATTAGAACTAATTTCATTTACATTTATAACCAATGTTCAAAGCTTTGAACTTAAACGGAAATGACACCTTGAAGTGTAGGGTAAATGTGGGGTGCTTTTCTTGATAGAATGTAATACAAGATAGCAGTGTACTGTAATTTTTTTTTAATTAGTGAAAACAGTGGAGGGGAAGTGATCACCAAATTCTGTGAAGTTTTTCTCTCTAAAGAAATACATGTGCAAATGTGAATTTTAGAAATTATGTGAGATGCATGTAATACAGAAAAGATGAGGCCTTAGAAAGGGAAGATCTTTTCAAGTTAATGATTTCTGTATCAAAATAACTATTACTGAAGTGAAATATTCTCAACATGCATAGAGATTATAGATGTTAAGTATCAGAATGTTTCTTCTTTCTTAAATTGTAGCTATTTTTGTAATTTTGCACTTTAAAGAAAATTGTTTTTGAGAAACTAATAAATTTCAAATGCAGCATTTATTAAATGTTTTTATTTGTATCTGAGCTTCTAAGAAATTGAGTAATTTAATCATTTTTAATTAAATAGCTCCTGTATATTTCGTTCCTATTTGATTATTTTTTAAAAACTAATAAATTTCATGTATTGCTTACAATATCTAGATTGAAGCTAAATCTGTAGAACACATGAAGAAACTGAACAAGGGATTAGAGAACAAGATCATTTCTCTACAGCAGAAAATTGAAGAACTGGTATAGTCATCTTAAGATTTGTTGTTGTCATTTTATTTTATGGGTTTTTTTATTTACAAACTGTCAAGCTAGAAACTGGTGAAGTGAAGTTACATTTGATTTTAAATTGGTTGAAAAATTCCATTTAAAATTTTTTTTTTTATTTGACTTAACAGTTAAAGGACCAAGATGATAATTATTTATGTTGTGTTTGCTGATCTAAGCACAGGAACAGCTGCAAAAACATCCTTATTAAATTAAAATATCTGTTCTGAATATTTATTCTAGTATAAATATACTATAGTGATGTTGAAGATGAATGCAAAGTGTTAAATAAGAAACTAAGTGGAGTCAGAATGAATTGAATATTATGCCAGAAGGTGATATAAATGTTTTCCTAATGTGTTGTTGGAACCTGGTACAGTACCAGGTTTTGTGTCTTGCAGCTTTATAGCTATAATTGTTGCTGTATAAATGTGTAAATAACATTAAATTTCATTAAAAGCAATTAATGTTTACCTTCTACTTTTATCTCATAAATAAAACATATCATTTCTAAAAAAAGTTAGAGTTAGCTTAAAAACGTTGGCCTAGTGGTTAGGGTGCTTGATTCGTAATCTTAGGATCACAGGTTTGAATCCTTGTCACCAAATATCCTTGCCCTTTCATCCATGGGGGTGTTATAATGTGATTGTTGATTCCACTACTCATCAGTAAAAGAGTAGCCCAAGAGTTGGCAGTGAAATGTGTTGAATCTAGCTGTCTTCCCTTTATTCTATCACAGTTAGATTAGGGACAGTTAGTGCAGATAGCCCTCTTGAAAATTTTTGTAAACATTTAAAAACAAAACCAAACTTAAAAGACCTTTCTCTGAAGTTATTAAGCTGAGTGGACAGAAATGAACAGGATATGGGAAGAAATTATAATATTTAAAGAATAAGATCAGGAAAACGATTTTGAGAAGATTATGTGGTTTGGAAAGTAGGAATAGAGAGGGTAGAAATAAATGGTCAAATGAGAAGTGGAAATAGGTGGTTTTATTGAGAATTTAAAGAGCAAAAGAAAGTAAGGTGTGGTAGTGTACCACATGCAACAAAAATGGTTAATGGAGGAAGAGAAAATGTAGAATTTGAAATAAAAGTAAGAGATAACGATCATAAGCTGTATGTGGAATTGTAAGGGAATGGACGAAAACTTACAAATGAAAAATATCCTGTGTTTTACAAAAAGGTTTTATTTGTTTTTTATGATTTTACCCCTACTTTTGTATCATTCAGATATGAAAATGATAACTTGTTTTATTAGGAAAATACAATACATTGTATGAGATATATGTGTAAAGATAATACATTAATCTGTATGTTTGTGCAAAGCTGCCTGTTAAAGTAAGGCAATGTATTAGTCTGGAAAAAACATATGATAAACAAACAGACATACACACAAGCTCTGAAATTGCATGCATCTGAACGTATTGATGGATCTAGTGGCAACCATGTGAGTCATGATGTATACACTTACACCCAAAACATACACATTTTAAAAAGTTGGGCTCAGTTATTAGGCCTCAATGTAAATATATACAGACTAATAGTTCTAATTCCACAACAGTAAACTGTTTATTCAAATAAAACGTTTTATTTGGGATCAGATATTTATTGTTTTCTTTTAAACTTAGAAGTGGCATTGTGTTTTAGTTCTCCAGCAAACCACATTGAATTCCATTCACCAAAGCATTAATCTGCTGAATACTTTTTCCTCCTGTCCATCAAACTAAACCCTGATATTTACCCAGAAAAATTATTAATAGTTTTTTGCACCAATTTTCATCTGTTTTTGTTGTTGAAGTAATAAACACTAATAAATTCCAGGAAAAATCCAATCAAATAAAAACCAAAAATGCAGTGCCCTGTGGATGAAACAGAGTGGGTAGAAATGGAAGGAAATTGGAAGATGTTTGTATATGTGTATGTATGTATGTGTGTGTGCATATGTAAAATTTACAAAAAATTAGGACATAATTGGTAAAGTTGTATTTAAATAAGTCAATATAATTATTTGAAAATAAATAAATATGTTGCAAAGGGCAACCTTCTTCATAAAGGCTTGATACCTAAGGATTAAATCTGATTTGATATTGTGTGGTATTTTATACTTCTTGTATATACTTTAGACATTTGTAAGTTTAATAGCAGTTTCTTCTCTTTTTACTTTTTTTTACTTGAGGCTCGAGAAAATAAAACTTTGAAAGTAAAAGGAGAGGATATAAAGGGGTTGACATCTCAAGTGGAGCAAGCGCGTGTGATGGAAAAGGAACTAAAGACATCCAACAACCGAATTGTTGAGCTGGAGGAAGAAATCAAAGCCATGTGTTCAGAACTAGAACACATACGTGGAGAGAAACAAGACCTATTGTCAGAGAAGGAACTGCTACAGAAAGAAAAAGAGGAGGTTAGTGTGTCTTAGAATATTAAAAAAAAAAAATTATTGGATCATGTTTAATACTTTAACCCTTTTAGATCTGAATGAGTGTCACTGACCTTTGATTTTTTCCTTCTTATAGTGAAAATACTAAACCAAATTGCATGAAACTGAGAACAAACTGTTTATAAGCAAGGCTCCTTGGAGCTGCCCATAAATTCAAGATTGAATGTTTATTCATGGATAACATAGCAATAAAAGAAACATTATTTAATTTTTCTTTGTAATATACACAAAATAAATGTTAAAAATATCAATTCTAAAATATTTTTAATTAAAAAATTTCATATAGTGTTATAATTATTATTTTAGAATTTCACATGCAGGTGTGCATTTGACACCTGAAAGATGCTCACTAGTCATTATGGGATTAATTTTTTCTAGCTTGGTGTTTTCTTTGAGATCACATGATAATTTTAAGTTTCAAAAAATCCTGTCTGGTCTCCCCCTTCAAATCACCTACAAAATAAAACTAACTAAAATGATGAGATTTTAATTTCACTGCAATTTAAATTTTATTAGTATTTGTTTTAAATTAATGAAACTGATAAATATAGTTTCAGCCAGCAGAAATTTTTATCTGGGGAGTAAAAATGTTTAATGTTTCCTGTCTTTTTAGGTAAAGCTTACCAATGTATAAAACATACCAGAAAATATTTGGCCTTTATACATATTTATAAGCCACACATTGTTGCATATTTCTAAGCCAAGTAGTTTCAAAACAATGAATTTTTGACGTCGGTGGTGTTAAAAGTTCTGAAATCCAACTATCTATACGATTTGTTTTACAATTTCAAACTGTTTAAAGTTACAACAGTCATTAATATACTGCCTGAAAGCTGGGGTTTTAAGTAAACATTTTATATTATTCTTAAGTACCATTTCTACTGAGACTGTTTTAATATATTGATTTCTAATATACTAATTACAGTTCAATATAGTACTGAAGTACATTATTTTATGAAAAGTTGATTAGACAAAATTGTGTCTGCATTTACATGCATGACATTTTAATTGTATTCTTTTCTTATACTTTCAGACTGTGTCAAGGTTAAACCAAGAAAATATTAAATTAAAAGAAGATGTGGATAGGCTAAATGAAGTAGTCAAGGAAAATGAGTATGGTGTAGATGGTAAGATTGCAATTAATATAGTATACATATGTAATGCCAGTATACTGTCAGCCAGTGAATGTCCTCACTAATTACTTGCCTGTAGACTTAGTGAAAGTATGAAAGGAAAATTAAATAATTGTATAATTTGAATGCAATGTAGCACCAGAAGAATTCCACTAATGCAGACGTTATTCAGAAAGAGATACAGTTATTGAAAGCTTAGTAGTTTGTGTAACTCATAAAACTAATAAATCTCATTTCCCATATATTTTTATTTAAATAATCTTTTATTGCAGGTTTATATAATGGGGGCTTATAAATTCCCAAGCCGTTATACTGCTAGAGAACATATATATATACATGTCACTGAAAATTATACAATAAATTAGTGTGCTAAATCTAAATCATGTGCAGAGTTTTGTGAAAACCAAGCCTGCCTATGTGGTATTCTCAGGTTTACTGTTTTTCCTTAGAGTGATTGGGTAGGAACTGCAGAGTACCAGGAGGCTTGCCAGAAAATTTCACAATGCAAAATTTGAATTCTCAGACCTCGACTGATTTCAAAGCAAAGAAAGACAATGGACAAAAATTAAACAAAGAGAAACAATCTATATTTCTGACCAACAACAACCAAAGTTGAACAATAAGAATATTTAGTGGTCTCTTCATTAAATAACTCTTATATCACCAAAGCTATCTTTAAATCTTAATCCATTCACTCATGTTAAAATCTAATCCATTCCAGGCTGAGAAAATATGGTATTATGTATACATAAAACAATAGTGCCATTCTTCTCAGGGTGAAGATGCTACCCACATAACTGATGATCACTTTCACTTTTAAATCAAGGATGTTGAATCCTTGAGGCATCACCTAACCTTCCAGTGGAAAATAGCACTATCTACTTCTTTATCACTATGCTCTACTTTGCAGGAACATGCATGTGATACCCTAGTTAAATAACTAAATTCAGTAAGTAACTAGAGAAGATGAACTTATGGTTCCTTTGTAGAGAAATTTTGCAATAAACAAAGGGTAACAAAGTCATAGTATGCATACATAGTACACTTAGTTCTCCCTAAACTATCAGTATTTTGTATCTGTATATGCAGTTTCTTTTGCTTGTTTTCTGGGGTTTTACTGAACTAGAATTAATGTTAAGGTACTTTGTACATGACAAAAAGCTGTTTATGTTGTAAACATGACATCCAAATGAATGATATGTATACCCATTTGTGCTTATATTAAGCACTTTGGTCATTGCTAATAACAACAGGCAAAGTAATAGATTATTGGGATGTTGGAATTTGACTGAAATTAAACTTTGTGGCTCAAAACAAATATAACAATGTTATTTTAGTAAGTAGCAATCTCTGTAGATTGTACTTTGTTAACAACTCAGTTATACAACATTGATTGAAATTAACCATGATTATGTTTCTGATTTCTAAAATTGCTTATTTGAATTAGTGTTAAATTTAAATTAAGCAACTAGCATCAAATCAACACTACTTCAGTAGTTTGTTTTAGGAACTAACAGCAGACTTTGTATATACATTATATGAAAAGCTTCCTCAATTTGAATGTGTGACAAGTAACAGAGTATTGTCAAACTAAGCATTAGGATCTTTTAAGATTGAAATAGCCGGAAAATTAGAAATTTTAAAATTGAAGTATAAAATTCCTGTTTAAAACTAAGAGAATTGAATTAAATATTTAGGAAAGAATTCATCCTATAACACTTCTGATCTGAAGTGTTGGGATTAAGTTATATTGATAAACTAAAACCTCACACTTGCTTAGGGTTGCCAGATGTCCCAGTTTTCAGTCTTATTTTTTCGGTCCCAATCAGAAACAGTAAAAGTATTAAATTGCACCACAACATGAGTTTGTTATGTATAGTTTATCATTATACACATCTCCTTTGAATTTTATTTGGGGAATCACCTGACAAAGACAGGTCACATGATACAGTGTTCCCTCCCTCTGCTATATTTTCTTGGGTGGCCAAAGGAATTGAGAGATGAAGACCTGCTCAGCCAAAAATAGAAAACAAGCAACATTTTTCTCTATTGAGCAGATTTAAGGCAGTATATGCATGTTGTTTATCTTATGTATTACTATTTTTAACTATATGAGCTCTTAAAAAATTTGTTTGTCTGTGGCTTTAAAACAATAAAATAAAAATCAGATTATTAAGCAGATAGTAAGAAGTGTTATTATAATTTAAACTGTTTCAAAGCTTTTGCAGTATCACTCTATGTAGAAAAAAAATTGTCCCAGTTATTTGCGTTGAAAATCTGGTAACACTACACTTGTTTGTTTTTAACTTTAATCTTTCATGATAATTTTAGGTTGTCTGTAGGACCAGAAAATGTTTTTCTGCAAAACAAAGTGTCTTTAAAATTTATTTTGTGTTGTGAAATGTTTTGGTGTCTTGAATGCATGTTTTATTAACTAAGTTTATAATTTTATTACCAGTAGTCTCTGTGATTGGATAACTTCTCTGTAAAAAAAGAAAAAATTTTAATGATACTTTCAGACCTGCTGAAGACAAAGGTGGAACATGAAAAACGATTGATTATTAGTGAGTTTGATGCTGAGCGAGCTGCCTATCAGAAACTTTTAAATGACTATGCTCGTTTAGAGCAGCGGCATGAAAACCTTCAGAATGAGATGCAGCGTGTTAGAGGAGTCACTCTTGCCCATCACAGAACACCATCAGATGTTAGTCTGTTGAGTATCCGTAGTGACACAACAGAGGTGGTGCGAGATGAAAACTTAGACGAGGTTGGAATATTTGCTGTTGTTTTGTGTGTTTTCATAAATATAACAGTCTTCCAGAGCTAACATAGTATCTAAGATAACTGTAAATAAGTAAATAAATAAAATGAATACAATTTACTTTAAAAATTTTATTAGTACTATGTGTCAGGTGCACCAACAATGTAAAGCATCTACCTTGCACAGTGATGTTATGGGAATATTAACATTGTTGACCTATAAAAATGTGCAGTAGTTATCAAGACAGGAAGTATGTTTTGAGTACTGCTGGTTTTCCTTACAGCTATCTCACTTTCTTAGATTTTATTGATTGTTATTAACGTATCAAAACCTACCCGGGGTAACCCGGTTGAAAAATGTTTTCTTTAATGCATCAGACCTCTGTATTTCAAAAATCATGTCTGTTCCTTTATTCTTGGGGTGAACTACAATTATCTTAAGAATAATATATTTAAGTCATTAAATTTCAGGGAAGTGAAATAATGCTTGATATTAGTTATTTTTCTCTGAGATTTTTTTTACAAATTGAAATCTTCCAGTATACCACATCATAATATAATAAAGTATCATCATCTGTGGAACTCTTGGTTTTTATTTACAGTAAATGTAGAATACATATAGACAAACATCAACTCCATGATTATCAGGGGATTTGGTTTTCTGAAACTTCAAAGGTGTAAAACATTCTGAATAATACTTTCATGATTTAAATGTTGGCCCTTTATCAAACAAACAATGGGTGGGTTTGATGCTGCTGCTTTTCCACTCTTTATTTTGTTTTTGTGCCTGATGATCTTAACATTAACAGCTATCTCAGTAAATTCCTGGAGTTAACTCCTTATCAACTATGGAAGTGTTTTTTTCCATTACCATAGCAATGCTTTAAGCACAACAAACCAGGCATGAGGCATTTAAATGGCACGTGAGACTTGGCACATGTATACGGGTGGAGATGATGTCTAGCATTTGTAAATATATATATTGGTGGAAATGATAAAAGGTTAAAGCTTTGTGCAATGTCTGTGGAATCTTACACTTTAATGACATTGAAGATTTTTTTTTTTGATAAAGTCCCACTATAATCTTTACAACTAGAACTTTTTGGGGGGAAATTTTTAATAGTGAAGTTTGTGTAAGCATCCTCAAGTTCTTGTACTTTTGACACTTTAATTTAAATCTGACGTAGTATTTTACTAGATTTTTTGTGATGTCAAATTTTTTCCATGGCTATTCAACCACTGCGATTCAGCTTTTTTGGTTTTCATGACTCAGTTTGTTTACTGCATCATGTGCTGGAACTTCTAAGGCCATAATGAAGTAATGAGTAACATTGGTCTTACTCCACTCATTTCATTTAGCCACTTCATGAACTTTGTGCAGGAATTATTCTACATCTCCTTTTGCTGTGCCTCAAGTTTTAACTTGCTTCTCTGCTGGCACTGTTGTTTCAGTGGAGCTGTAAGCAGAATAGACATAGTAGTTTTGAGAACTTAATGGACTACAACTGCCTGTTGAATGAAAAGGAGATGACATTTTGGCTTTTATACTGAGGACCTCCTTGAGATTATTGTAGGTACTTGTGTAGTGTTGTAAAAAAAAGTAAGCTCTAAGTCATGTAGGTTGAGCAGATGTGGTGTTTGTTGAAGTTGCTTGTCCACAGGTTGCTGATGAGAAAATCATTGTCTGTATTGAGTTCAGGTTGGTGTAGTTTGATATAGATAGCTTGTTTGACTTTACTTTCTTTTTCAGGAATGAGCTTTGTCTAAAATTCTATTTTGATCCCAGTTTATGGTGTGTCTTGTTTTGTAGTTATATTCAGCAAAGGCTGATGGCTCATAATTTTTGCTGTGTCTCTTGCTGTTTAAGCTTTTGCCTTAGATCAAAGGTTGCTTTTACCTAGTGCCTCTCTGGAATCTGTTTCTGGGTTATGTTATTTTCAGAACTTCATGAATATACTTAAAGGCACTCCAGTTAACTGGTCCAGAACATTTATTCATAAAGTGTTTATATGCTAAGCTATCATCATTAGGCCTAAGTGTTTAGAGGTCCTTTATGGACTGTGAATGAATACACAGGTTAATATAGGGATTAAATAGATTGACAGGTTCTCGATATATTCTTGTGTAAAAGTTGTTGATTTACGATCTGTTGCAAGTCTTTGTAAGCATGTGTCAGTTAGATCAAATGAAGTGAAATGCTACTAAGTTATTATATTGGGCCACTGATACTAAAAGTTCTCCATTGAATCAGCATGACCTTGGTTTCACTTTCTGTTATGTACTTAGGAAAACTTGTAAAGTCTAGTTTAGGTTCAAGAGGCTGTTGTAAGGTGGTTGCAGCAACTCAACACTTCCAGTTGGACTTCAAGAAAACTAGCAAGGGTCATTATGTATATTCTTGGGTTCTCCTGAGAATATCCACAGAAATGGTTTCCCCCTCTGCTGCTCTGGCAGAACTACAGAAAAGTAATACACAGGTAATAAATATTTTTGGTCCATGGTGGCTAAAGAAAGCAGGAGATCTTGGAAAATCCCAAGAGAATTTTGGTACTGTCCATGAAGAGGGTAATTATTTTTTGTGTAGACATGGTAAGGCCAAGGAAAACACTGGAAAGATTTTCTTATCCAAGATCTTTGAACTGCTTGTGGGGGCTGGAAAGGTTCCATGACAGTCGTAGTAGAACTGAAGAAAAGCAACATAATCTCAGAAGGGTTATACATTGGTTTTTAAAGTAGTTGCTTTACATTCATGATTTTCAGGAGTTTTTCACTGGCTTTGAATGTCTATATTTGTAGATGATGTTGTGTAGGTTACTGTGAATGTTATAAAGATTGAGTCTTTGTGACACTGTCACATTATCAATCTCAAATTTTCCATCATAGAATGACACATATCTATGTCAAAAAATAAAAAATAAAGTATTTGATTCTCTTATTTCCAAAGGGTTTACTTATTTTCAGTATGGTTATTCGTTTTTTCAGTTCATAATTTTGTGTTGTACTGTGTGTATATACGTGCATCTTTTTGACTGTTTGTGTTTTATTTTTACTTAACTTATTATATCAGTTACTCCACATTTGAATGGTGATAACATAACAATTTTAATCAGTAAAATAGTACTTGACCAAACATGCTGTTAGTGAGAAGCACTAGGTAAACTCCAGATGTACAGTTTCAAAGTTAAATATATGAACTGTAACATCATTCTTGAACAGTGTGTAAATTTTGACTGTTTGTGTTTTATTTTTACTTAACTTATTATATCAGTTACTCCACATTTGAATGGTGATAACATAACAATTTTAATCAGTAAAATAGTACTTGACCAAACATGCTGTTAGTGAGAAGCACTAGGTAAGCTCCAGATGTACAGTTTCAAAGTTAAATATATGAACTGTAACATCATTCTTGAACAGTGTGTAAATTTTAGTTAGAGTAAGATAGAGATGGTGAATTCTTAGCCACAGCTCAGTCTTGTGTAAGTATAAACTTCAAATATAATCTTTGATTTGTCTAAATATATTACCTTAAATGTAAATTTTCCTTTTTTCTTGTTAACTAAATTTTGCTGACTAAATTTATGGTAAAATGATGATTTTGATGCAAGACCTGGCTTATATACAACCTTAAAATGCTGAATTAGTGGTGGCAGACAAAGACCCATGGGAAAATATCTAATGTTGTTCAGTTGAATATAATGTAATAATATAGCAGCATTTTTCTTGATTTGAAGCTTAAAAATTATACCTAGCAGTTAATCACAGTTGCTGTATCCTAGATATTAATTTACTGGGGATTCGTACAGAAGTCACACATGAATGACTTGAATCTGTATGCTTAAGTGTTTGTTTTCTTTAGCTGTCCTTGCATATTGGATAGTTAATTTTCAATAGTTTCTACTATTTTCCTCTTGACTTATATTTGGACATAGTAAATACACATTTTGTTTTTTGGTTGGCATGGGCTAATCTGTAGTTTGAAGGTGATTTCCTGTTACTCTGGGCAACAACATGATGATGAAATTCAGCACAAAACATGAAAATATATTCTTTGACAATGGAATGCTGACCTACACTATAATATATCACTTTTTTGTATTTTGATTTAATTATTTCAAGCCATGATTATATGTATTTTGTTTTTTAAGAATATTATAACAGATTGTAATTTTTCAGGTTTATGTAAGAAGAAATATTGTTGTGTGTTAACTGTTTATGTATTGTTTGTTATAGGAAACTTATTGTGAACTTTAGGCATTGGAAAATATGTATTATTATTTTATTCTATGGTTTGAATTTTTTTATAAATTTACTTAGTTACAACTCTTTATATAAGACTATATACACTATTGGAAAAATGATAAATAATTCAGCTTGGATTCAGCCAACTATATGATTAGTTATGTATCAGTAAACTTCTCAAACCATGCATTGAAATGATATTGTTTATTTAATTAGATGTTATTTAGATAAATCACAAATATTTTACACTGTATTATAGCGAAAAAATCTTTGGAGAAAAGATATTCATGTTTGGGTCAGACACAACCATAGCTGTAATGTTGACTAAATATTGCTTTTAACTGGTTGAGCTACTTGAGCTCTTACACAGTTAAACACTGAATTTATGCTAGCAAATTTGTTAAAAAAATCTTCTACTACAGTTTTAGAAATTCAATGAACAAGAAAGGTACATTGTGTTTGATTGCAATTTTTGGGTTGATAAGTCTGATCAGGTAATTTGAGAGATTTAAAAATAACCACTAGAACTGAGATGTAAATCATCAAATATATGTTATATTCTAGATTTGTTTTATTATTTAATATACAAAAAGGCTTTTATAAAATGCTGTTACTAAAAAAAATAAAGTATGCAAAAACAAGAAGAAATCTATATTACAACTTGCTTAAATGTAAGTGAAAAACCATAATTTTGGAACAAAATATATTCTATCCAAAATAATTTGTACAGGGATACTAGTTTTGACACATTCATACATCTTTAATGTGACACTGCTTTTTGAGAAAAAATTGATCAATGTAGCTTCAATGATACCAAACTTTTGAATTCCTCAGATGGTTAGGAGAAAGTTCAGCATAAAGTGACTTTTGGAGGTGTTAAAATTTGGCAGTTTTTGATAAATGAACTATCAACAATTCTTTTTGCAATATTTTCTGTTATATTATTTTAATTTGTTTTCCTGCCAATTTGATGGCTGAAATCTCATGTATTTTAGAAGAGTAACATTGTTTGTATTGCATTTTGAACATCTCTGGTATGTTAAGTGATTCTTGTGTCTGTTTTTTCAGTTTTACTCAAGTAAACTTTTTTCTCAAGATTAGAAAATTACATTGTAAACACCTTGTTTCTTATCTTTCAGTGTAGATTAATTTGAAGTTAGATTATTTCTAATGGTGTTAGGGTATTTCCAAATGACTTCAAAGTTATTTTTCACAGTCATTTTCATAAAGTATAGTTTAAAAAAGTGAATAAGGAAGAGAAATGTTAAAATGGATTTGAAGAAGAAAATTTAAGTCATTGACCTACCAGTTCCTCTATTTTTACTTTTTAAATTAATTTGATATTATATGTGAAATTTTATTTCATTGCTACACCTACTGCTGTTTTCAATTGTGTTTTCTGATGATGACTGTTCAACTTCCTGGAATTTGGGATAAGCACCTTAGGTTTATGAGTTGCTTAAAGACCTTGCACTGACTTACTAACCAAAACACTTTATTTTTTTAGTATTGATTATTATAATACAGTAACTCAGTTTTTTTTTCTTGAAAAAATTAAGTATTACCCATAAATAAATACGAAATGTTATAAAAGAAAAAGTAAATGTTGAAATTTATGGAGTGATAGAAATTGGATCAAATTAATATATGAACCAAACCAGAGTGCTTTATGATATTTTTTTTAAGTTTCTTCATTGTGTGAAGGTAATAAGAACCATTGTTATTGTATCATAGGACACTGGCTATGACTCTGTTCGGTCAAAAGACAGAGATATTTCTCACCTTAAACTAGACATAATCAATTGGGAACAAAGTAGTGCCACCAGTAAAGAAACAAGTCCAGGAGAAGAGGACAGAAAGGTAAAATGTTACTCTTACGACTCTCTCTTGAGGTGATAAGTGACTTGAATTTTTTTTTTTTGAAGAATTAAGTATCCCAATGATAAATGGGCCCAGAAAACTTGAGGGGAAAAAAGGTTAACTTGATCTTTACATTTTTTGTAGAATGACTATGCACTAGGATTCTACAAAATTTTGTGCACCTCTTTATACTATAGTTGTGATTGGGTTTTATTTTTTGGGAATGGTAAATGCTCTAATGAAATAATGAGTCCAGGAGAAAAAGAAAGATATCTGAAACTTCATTTTTAAATGCTTTTATCTTGAGGACTGAGATTCTTCATGAGAAAAACTATGTTAAAGAATATTTAAAGCTTTGAAGTAAAAATTAGTAAGGAAGGTAGATTTTTAAAGAATTGTGACTTCTTAAAAAATCTTTAATGTTACTGGCAAGGGTGCCCGCAAGAAAAAAAAAAATAGGAGGGAGTCAAGTAACTCAAGTTTGAAAAATGTATGAATTTGAAATACGAATACCTTATGATTTTCCAATAACACAGAAGAATCATTTTACATATCTAGTAATTTTTTTCTTTTTCAAAATCCAGGGGGGGGTCAAGTGACTCCTCCCTTGCCCCTTCCTGTGGATGCCTATGATTACTGGTGTTCATTAGAAGGTTGTCTCTAGCCAAAACATTTTATTAAATGATATGAGATGACTAATCTTGTTTGGTTGTTTTATAGGGTTTATGCATGAATTTAAGTAGTAACTTTGTTTTGGTGTGTACTTGTTATCCCAAACTTTTGTGTTAAGAAGTATTGCAGCTAAAATAATGTAACCATTAAATAAGTAAGGAAAGTCTAGGTTCTGAAAAAAATAAATATGCGCAAACAAATAAGAGGTATCATCTTGAGTAACATATGTTTTTGGATTTCACATCTTTCTTACATTTATTTATTCCCATCACTTGCTTACACTGTTAATTCTGTATGATTAAATCCAGAGATCATTATAATTTTTTTAGAATATTAACTTTTTCAAATCTTTAGTAAAGCATTGAGTGGTCATATGATACATCTGAAATGCTGGTTTTATCCCTTTATTGTATGTTGAATTTCAATACTCCTAGTATCTTAAACACTAAATTACTAATGTAGTTAACTCACAGTCAGACATTTCTAATGAATTTATAGACTTTTCTCATTGGATATGAACTTGAAAATTAACTAAAAGTGAAATATTTCTATGTATTCACATCAAAGGTTGATATTAAAACAAAATAATTGATATTGAAGAAAAAAGGGAAAAGGTTTTTAAAATTTTATGAAAAAGTTTTATAAATGAAACTAAATTTGTTAAAATGAGTAATTGGATAATATCTTAACAATATCTAAGGTATTGTCAAAATTCATTGTTATATGTTTATTTAAATCTCAGTTCATGAAATTTATTAGAACTTTAATTCACAAATAGTTGTAAGTTTCAAGTAAGTACTCTGAAAACAATATTTTAGTGTATTTAACAAATACAAATTTTCAAATATTGTTTGTAATGTCGATTCAGTAGTATAAATAAATAATTTAATTAACTTTGAAAATATGATACGTTTTTATATTGCAGGAGGACATAGAATGCCACAAAGAAGAAGTAGATGTTTCTCTGTTGCTGAAGCTGCAACAGAAGCTACGTGAAGCACAAAGTGAGAAAGCTCGACTTGAGAAAAAGCTGGAAGCTCTTGAGGAAGAGCCATCAAAGGGGGAAAGCCAAGAAAAAAGTTTAATAAGAGTAAGTAGATGTCTTGAAATGATTATTAAATTTGTAGATACCATATGTTGTCACATTTTTTAGGAAATATAATTTTAAATTATGATTTCATTAACTTCATTGTAGTTGACAATATAAGCACTCAAAATTTTCAAATACATATTAACTCTTACGTGATTGAAGGATCTCATTAAAATCGCTTGATTTTTTTTTCCATCTCACAGTGGAAATACTTAACAGAGTTGCATGAAACTTAGAACAAACATACATATATTCAATCAGTTTTAACTTGATTGTTATTCATTAAAAGATTTATTTTCCCATTGTGGTAGTCACAACTTCTGGCTATAAATCATAAAAAATGCTGCAAAAACTAACACCTTATCAGTGACTTAGGATCTGACCTTTCAAAATGGCATCCGGTCATGCTAGGTAACAATATGTTTCTTAACAATAATCTTTGTCAAGCTCAGTTTAAGTCTGATGAATATAGTTTCTTTTCAGTAAGTAATAAGTCCTGTTATTTAAGGGGCATTGTTTCAATGTGATAAACTCGGGTATAACATTCATTAAGTAAGAACTTGAGCCATCAGCTACTGTACTTGATAAAGCTAACTAAGCTTACCTGATGACATAGAAAGAAATGTTTGTAGCTGTAAAACAAATATAGTTTAGTGCAAGATCATTTTTGGGTAGGAAAAGAACATATATAAAGAAACTAAGAAAAAATTCCCAGATGTTTGGTTTGTTCGTAAATCTTCAACTTCCCATAACATTTGATTGTTCTTTGCAGAAGCTTGGTCTAATCACTTTTCTATAAAACAATAAATTATTTCTTAAACATTTTATTTATTCTGTATTGATGTAAATAGTTTATAAACTACTATATCTATTGGCATTTAAATTTTATCTGTAATTTGTTTTTAAAAGTTGAGCTTCATTAGTAGTTGTTCATATCACATGCTGTGAGATCATAAAAGGGTGGGACAAAAGGATTTAGTAATAAAACCACCCCCAGTGGCACAGTGGTATGTCTGCGGACTTGTACTGCTAGAAACCGTGTTTCGATACTCGTGGTGGGCAGAGCACAGATAGCCCTTTGTGTAGTTTTGTGCTTAATAACAAACAAAGAAGGAAAATCACGAGAAACAAATCACAGATAAATATATTCTCAATGGATAATAGTTTTTTTAGCAAACGTATAATTATGCTGTAGAATGAGCAGATTTTTTATTTATTTTTTCAAATTCGTATACGCATTGTTTACAGACGAGACTCCTTGGAGCTCAGTAAAAATGAAAGTATGAACATTTTTCTTTTCTTTCCAAGTTACAATAAGAAAATGTTAGAAAATGACAAGTTATCAATTCTAAAGTATTTTTAATCTAAAAATTATGGAAATAAAGTTAGAATTATATTCTCTTTGTACTCATCCATACCCATAGAAGAAGATGTAGATAGCATCATTAACCTCAAATCTTCACTTGATCAACACATTTTCCCAGTGAACATCACATTAAAAAACCATCCACTCAATGATCAATTTTATCCTATACAACAGCTATTTTAAATTATGTGAAACTTTGTACAAACAAAAGAAACGAGTACCAATGGGTAACAGAGCAGCTGTCACATTTGCAATAATATTTGTGCGTACTCTAGAAACCAATGTCCTTCTTGACACATATAGAAAAAACACAGGTTCGATACCAGAAGTATGGTACAAATACATTGATGACATATTTGATATATGGAATCATGGACAAGAAACATTACGGCAGTTTCACTGTATCCTAAGCAACTTCCACCCATTAATGATATTCATACTAAAACTACCGTAGGTAGAAGGATACTTAACGTTCTTAGATGTAACCAAAAAAATTCAAGTTTTATGCATAACAAAGAATGCAAGAAGCCGATATTTCTCCATTATAAATCACAACACCAGTAATAAGAGAACTCAACTGAATAAATCAAAGCTGTTCTATGCCAAATACAATTAAAACAACACAAAAAGACTTTAAAACACTACTATTATGAAACGGATACCCAGATTTTAAATTGGCAATGTTTTCAAATCACAAAAACAAAGCATTACAACAGCAACAGACCCATAGACATACAAGAAAACACCCACAATGAACATTCTTTTCATAAACAACACAATCACAATCAAGAATTGTAAAACCATTAAACAATCCCAACTGACAATCAATATAATGTACAAACCAGGTAAAACACTGAAAGAATTATTTGTTTACTCTTCATTCTCACAAACAAAATGTACCATAAAACAATGCTACCCCAGAGAAAACGGAGCAGGACTAATGTGCCACATCAATTACATAGTCCATCAAATCATTTGTAATATATGTGGAGATGCATATATAGGAGAAACCAGAAGACCTTTTCACATGAACATCTCAGAACTCGTCAGTGGAATATATTTATGTGTGACCAATACAAAACCTCCCCAACAGGACACTTCCTATACAAACATGGAACCCCAAACACAGAAAATCAAAACCAGTTTCAAGTTCTTATATTACAAAAACAAAGATTTGAAGGAGAGAAAATATATAGGAAGATAGACTCATTAACAAAAATGAACAGAGACTATGAGTGGTGTGTATAACTACACTGCCATTCAAAAAACAACACATCATACCAGTACACTTGACACTATAACTTTCACTTTAACACTTGTGCACTCTGGTGTATCACACACACTGCTCTAGTAAACTTTGTGTCATTTCAACTTTATATTTTTGCTTGTTATCAACATCTATTTTTCGTCTGTATTTTATTTTTCACCTAATCATAAAAAATATTGTGGTTCTCTTTATTTTTATATTTTATTTAAGTAATATATGTTATGTGTTAGTATAGCTATATAGTTAGTATTATAACTATACTGTAATATTAAAACAGTAGTGAAACAATAATAAGAATCTATACATTGTTAGATGAATATTATGGCAGATGTAAATAGAACATTGCAAGCAGTTTTATAATTTAAAAAATATTCTAATATCAATCAGTTGTATGTATTAACCTTGATGAAGCCTCAAAGGTGAAAAATTGGTTCAAATAAAAAGTTCTTTTCTAATTATCTAGAGTTTAAAGGTCATTTTTCTCTAACATTTTAATCATAGTACTTTAGTATTCAAATTCACAGATTACTATTGATTTGGACTGTACAATTATTTTGTTTTGATTACCTATGGTGATAAGTTAACAGAAGTTTTGAAAGTGTGAAAAAAATCTGTGTAAGTATCACTCTGCTAATTATATCAGAAACATTTCAGCCAATGTTTGTCCATAAAAAAAAAACTTTGAATTTTGCTGTTATATGATGAAAAACATCCTAAGCTTTCTTCGTGTTCAGTGTACTAACAATCTACCTATTAAGCAAGAAAATCCTATTTATAACATTTGTAAATATATGTAAATATCATACACCTAAAACTATATTTTATGGAGATAACAAAGTGCTGAGTAAAAAAAAAAACTAGTGTAATAAACAAACTTATTAGTATTTTGTCCAACTGCTGATTAGATCTCAGGTGGCTTTAATTTTATATTTTCTTATTACTTAGAGTGTTTTAATAAACTTTGTTCACACTCTCTACCTAAAACTCTATAAATGTCTTAATATCTGATTAAGAGTTCTGTTTAGAAATGTGAAAATTGAGATTTCCTGTGTTTAGGAATATGCTTTAAAGATACTAATATGCAGTAACATTTTAGAGTCTGAAGATTGTTTATGTGACTCTGAGGGTCTCTCTTAATGAGTTTTTGATGTGGAATTTCAGTTGCAAGAATTAGAAATGGAAAATGCAAAATTGAAGGATAACTTGAACAAACTGAGAAGAGCAGCATCTTCCCCAGACAGTGGTGGAGCAGAATTAATGGGTAATAATTCACAGTTTTATGTTTATTACATAGTCTTGGATGTAGTAGAAGAATGATTAAATGTGTGAATCTGTAAAGGTCTTTGATTCTTATTGAGCATTTGTTTTTAGTACTTAAGAACTAAGCATTGTTGTAATATTGTTTCAGTGGTAATTTATGAATGCAGACACTAGTGTTTAACAATAGTCTTAATGAAGTTGTTTGTGATGTGTACTAATAGAAGAATTGACCTAAAGTATTTCAAACATTTACCAAAGGTAATTTACAGTACTTTGAAGAATCTTTTATGTATTTGTTATCTGTGTTGATTGTAACAGATTCGGATAAATGTTTGTAGAAATCTGATATATGAATCATAGATAATATTCTAATGAATTTGGTCATTGTTATAAACATTAACTGTCATACCAGTATTATAAAACATTTAAAAAATGCAGGTTTCTAGTTTTAGTTTTATTGGCTTTCTCTGTTCTTTTGAAACTGCATATTAATATTGATAAATAATAAAGTACATAATAAGTTTACACAAAGCATTCAATGCTAAAAATAATTTGATTATCACATAACTACCTTATAAAAGGAATAAATATACTAATGTTAGTCAGTAATTGGCTGTAATCACAAGTTAAAACCTAATTTATCTCATATTGACAGTTCATTTGCATTTTATTTAATATTATAAATTACTTGGTATGCAAAAGAATGAATTTGAAAATCTATGATCAAGCACAATGGAACAAAACTTGCTGTTATTATATTATGTCAATAATGTACATAGAAAATATTCTATGACTAAGAAAAAAATATCTATATATATATATATTTATTCTGACAATATTTTACGAATTTATAAGAATAATATGTTCAACATTAGAAAAAAAGCACATCCTTTCCAGTTATTTTTTAGGAACTTTTTTTATATTTATATATCAACTTCACTTTTATATCTGGAGGTGAGTACCTGATTGTAAATTTTACCTGTGTGTTATTTTTAAGCAATTCTACCTGTTCATTCCATATTTACTGACATGCTTTTTGTTAGAATATCATAACTTTTCATATCCTTCCATATATATCAGTAAAAAGTACTTTGTTTTATTAGAAGTCTAGTTGTTTTACTCATTTAATAATGGACCTAAAATAAAAAAAATTTAATTAGATCTGTTCCATGTGTAAAATTCTGATGAACATTGAAATACTGGAGAAAAAAATGTTGTGTAAACGTTATAATCTTTAGCTTATTGAGTCATACAATAATGTCAACCACACTAGTCATAGAAGATGCAAATGTAAATAAAATATATCTTAACTTGAAATCAAAAATGAATTGAAAAAATAAATATCAGAGTATTTAAATCTTATATATAAGTTTAAAGTGAAAATATGACAGGATGCTATACCCGATATTTGTTATTTACTTGTATGATAAAATATTTTACTTTTTTAATCGACTTTCCTAATAAAGTTTTGTGTTTGCTAAAGGTATGTGTGATGTGGGCAGATTAAATTAGTTATACATTATGACCATTGCAAATTATATTCTACAGACCAAATGCAAGCACTTCAGGATGAACTTGAGCGACGTAGGGAAGAATGCATTCAGTTACGATCAATTTTGGCAAACCAGAGAGAGGATCTGAAATCATCTGCTTATGATTCTTACAGCAGTGATGTGGACATAATTAATGAGGATGGAGAGTTGTTAATGGCTTTCGAAACTCAGAAGAAACTAATAAGGTTTGAAATTTATTATACCTGTGTTTTTGTCATTTTTAATGGAAGTTTAGACGTGATTTATATTTTAGTTTCTAAGAATAATATTTAGGTTTAGTTCCTTTTTTAGCCCTGGCTTTGTTATATAACATTGAGATACAATTATAAATTAATAGTCAACACTGTTTTCTGTGAGTGCATGAGCTGTTAGAAATAGCTTGTGATATTATTCATTCATTATTTATTTAAATTGTTTTTTTTTATTGATGTACAAATGTGGTCATGTGTGTGTGTGTTTTTGTTTATTCAGACAACTTGAGGCAGAACTTCAGGCAGAAAAACTGAAAACTAAAAGTGTCGAACAAGAACTTCGTCATGAAATTCAAGTTCTACAAGAAGACAATGATCGTCAACAAAAACTTTTAAGTCAGGTACTTAATTTGAGTTAAAAAATAATTTTCTAGCTTAAAACTCATTTAAAGTTTATTACCTGTAGAATATAGGTATATTTAGGAATAATTTCAAAATATTTCGTATGGGTTATTTAGTTTGACTATTTATATCTAATGAAACTATTTGTCTATTTTTTATGTGAATGTATCCAGGTGTTTTTGTATCATCAACTGTTCTAATGAAGACAATGAAAATAACTGTAAATTTTGTAGTGGTAAAAGTTTTAATTGTATATTAGCTGGAAGTCATGCAGGTTATGTACAGTGTGTAAATCTTATTATTGCTGTCGGATTTTAACAAATGATGGATGTGACTTTTCCACGTGAACAGAACTTGAAGAAAACACCTCAGGCCCAGACAGAAGCTATCCTTCAGCATGAAATCAACAGGTTAACAGGAGAAAATGTGGTAAGTGTACTGACATGATTAAAATAACATAATTTTAGTTCCCTAATCAACCACACCTACCTTAACATCATTGAGTTGATTAGATAATTACTATTATTAAGAATGTATAATTTTGTATCCATGTAGAATATTAATTAGCTCCTCAGTTCTGGACTGGGTAAAAACAAGTTCAGTTTCTTTTAAGTATATTTATTACTAATAAACACAACATTACTGTCTATTGTGACAAAATCACAGATAAATAAAAGTACTAGCAAAGTGGTCAATTAGCATCATATGTCAAACATTCATTTTTGGTTAATTCTTTTGTTGAACCTTGTCCTTTCCAACACCCTATTTCAAGTTTTCTTCAATTTGATTTTAATATGAAGTAGATAGTTTTTATAGATATAATAAGTTGGGCTTGGTATAGGGCTACAAGTGGCATAGTGACTAAAGTGCTGGGCTGTTAATTGTAATGTCCAAGGTTTGAACTGCAATATCCTGCTAAATGTGCTCCAGACTTATCTGTGGAATGTTATAACTGTGACAATCATTCCTGCTATTCATTTGAGAATATCTCCATTGATAGGGGAATTGCTTATTGGTTACCTTCCCTCTGGTTAGCAGTTCGAAATTAGGGATGGCTGTTCCTGAATTTTTGAGGTCTTTGACTTGGCCAGGCCATCTAGCACATGTGTTGTACAAAGTGTCATTCACGCTGAAAAATTCAAATCCCCTTTTTTATGTATGAAATACATTCTGGAGTAAATTTTAATTTTTTTTATCTCCTTAATATGTTAATTATGTCATTGTTTTTGTTAATACTGTATTAAATGTGTATAACCTGTAAACAAAAACAAAAAAAATCATGTTTTGAAATCATGATTTGTATGTTTTTGTATAATCATGAAAATATGTGCAAAGTATGTGCAATGTTAATTATGTCAATGAAAACTCATTGTTTTTGTTAATACTGTATTAAATGTGTACAATCATGAAAATATTTGCAAAGTGCATACAATGTTTGTTTGAACAAATATTTAGCTATTATAGGCATATTGCAGAAAGCATGCAGGTAATAACTTTCTATTAAATAAAAGTCTTATGCACACTTTAACATAAGGAAGTAAGAACTCCAAACAATGAAGAAAAAAAATGTCCTGTGATAATAAAATGAATATCATATGTCCAATTTAAAAACATATTTTGTTTGGTGGATTTACATACCAGTCACTGAAATACTATTCCATTACTTGCAGCTCCATAATATTACAAAAAAAATTACCCATATATTTTTTTACATTTGTAAGATTCAAACCGGAAAGTAGCTTTATGTTTTTAGCCATGTGTTATACAGTGGCAGATATGGTCAGACAGTTGTTGATTTTGGCAAAGGCTCATACTTGCTGGTTTGTTTGTACATTGTTTCATTGCAGTTTTATCATCAATCACCATGCATATACAATAGCAACAATTTAACCTATAATTACCTATATGTATTATTGAGAATTGTGAATGTATATGATTTTCAGAATATTAAAGACTGAAATATACAGCAAAAAGGGAATTTTATTTCGCATCCCGGCAAGGCCAGGTGGTTAGGGCGCTCGACTCACAATCTGAGAGTCGCAGGTTTGAATCCCCATCCCACCAAACATGCTCGCCCTTTCAGCCATGGGGGCATTATAATGTGATGGTCAATCCCACTATTCATTGGTAAAAGAGTAGCCCAAGAGTTGGCGGTGGGTGGTGATGACTAGCTGCCTTCCCTCTAGTCTTACACTGCTAAATTAGGGATGGCTAGTGCAGATAGCCCTCGTGTAGCTTTGTGCAAAATTCAAAGCAAAGAAACCAATTTCACATCCATTTTTTCCATTTTATGTTTTTGCAATGTTTTTTTTTTTTATTTGCTTGCTAATGTTTTTTCAATAAGATGTGTACAGTTAGAAGAATTATGCATTTGTCTGGTTTTAACTTTCAACTGTTACAATATTTGACTAAAGTTCTGTAGTTATTGGGCTCATATTTTAACATACATGCCTGAATAATATTTTTTGTATGTAAATATTGCATTCAAATGACATTGCTTATTAACATTGTGAACTTAGTAATATATTTATAGTTTTATTTTTCATAACCCATAAGTAGTTGTTTTTTATGTTTTATTTTTCAAACTTTTAGGACCTTCGTGAAAAAAACGATAATTTGTCAGAACAAATCAAGAAGTTTAAACGGCAAATCAAGATATACGCTAAGAGACTAAAAGATGGAGGAGGTATGATAGTTATAGTGTGAATGGACTAGATTAGAAAATAGTTTCATTTCTTATTTAATCTGATGAAAAACAGTTCTAAAGTTACAATGGATGAGAAGGAATAGCATAAAACATCAAATTACAAATTATCAAAGTATAATCATTGTATGAATCTTGTGGAATGAACATAGTGGTGGACATGAAGGAATAACATGAGACAGCAATAAATCAGGTAGTATCAGTACATATTGTTTCAGTAGTATGTTTGTTTTGTTTTGACTCAGTTTTTTCTGAGAACAACTTTTACTTTCTGATCAAAATAAAATTATTTGAGTAAAGCTTTTTAAAACAGATTTTTCATGATTGTATAGTCTTTGTTTTATATAAACATTCCCTGTAAATGTAATTTTATTACTTATATTTCATTTTTATTCATTAATGTACAAGATTGTTGAAGGGTTAAATTTTAACACTTGGGACTTGTTATAGATAAAATTTTACTAGGATAAAGCCATCCATTTCCAGCTTTAATATTAAGGATGATTTGTGTGTATTACAGAGTTTGAACAAGATTTTCTGTTGTCTTTTAAAAAGATCTTTTAATTGAAAAAGATTGTTTTCCAGTTTCATCGGGGTTGTTTACCACTTTTTCTCCTCTACAGTAAATTATTGTATTTTAGTCATTTGGAGACTGGAAACAATCTCATTTTTATAGAATTGTGCATAAAATAATTTTTTTTTTTAATTTTGAGTTTTTAAGATTGAACATTACACACGTGCCAAAAAGATTTGAAAAAAGTGTGTACCATGTTTATTATTTATGTTTTCTACATTTAAGCTACAAGTATCAGTGTGCCTTATACTTTAAAGTTTTAATTAAATAATTTAGGTATCAAACACCTATATAACTTAGTTTTAATGAGTGTTTCATTGGCAAGTGATTTTGATAATACAATTTTGATCAACATTTTCAAAAGAAACTCAGTAATAAAAATTTGAATTCTTAAATTTTTCTCTGCATTTTCTAGATTGGATTGGAAAGTCGATAAATACTTATACAATTTTGAAGTTATGAATGTAAAACAATATATTTAATGTTTTTTAATGAAATGCTCTTATTTTTATTGTATAATTTTGCTATGTGTTACTTTTATTATTATTAGCATCAGCGTAAAATATCTGTGCTCCAAGATTCAAAGGCCCCAGTGTACCATTCAAGCTCCTCCATTATGTCTATAATCACCCCAAGGGGAAAGGAGGTCCATACATTCCAAAAAACTCCTATTAGGACCCCCATCCATTGTATCTGAGCATGTGTTCAAGTTTGTTTCTGCTAGCCTGTGAGTCCGGATGTAAACACAGTTTCAAACATAGGAGGGGACCAAGAAACACAGTCTGATACTGGATTCAGGTTTAGCAACCCTAAGAACCTACTCTTAAACCTTGAACATACCTGGATGTATTTATAGGGGCATTTTAGTCCCTCTTAGTAGGGGGGCTATTCTATACAGTTACGGACTCACCCCAAGTCCTTCTGCCGAGTTTGGTTCTACTAACTCCAGAACTGTGCAAGTAGCTAGCTGGAAATACAAAGATATGTACAAGGCTATAGGCTAAGATGCTTCTTAATAAAATTAAATTTATATTTTCCACAGAGCTAACATTAAAGGTACTGAATTATAGAAAGTTGCTGAAGTTCTTTAAAATAGAGAAAAGTAACTGTGTACTTTCCTCTTTTCTCAAGTACTTCACATTGTTAACTGTCTTTCCCTGTTTAGTATTAGAATAAAGTAATAACCTCATGTATAATTTTATTTTGTTGTCTTACTTGATTGGTCCAGAACAACCAAATAAGTTGATTTTGTCTTGTTCCATAGGTTCAGAACAGCCCAGTGACATGGGAGATACATCAAGAGAGCATCATGAAAATATGCCTATGGTCAAACACAAAGAAACAGAGTATCTTGGAATGGTTGAGTACAAGAAAGAAGATGAGCCTTCAATTATTAAAGGATTAATCTATGGTATGTGATTTGGAAAGAAAATTGAACTTTAAGGAAACCTTAGCCATTAATATAAACAATTACCACCATTAAACAAAATAAGAATATAGAGAATATTTTGTAAAATAAATATATGTAAAACAAATTTCTTCACAGAATTAAAAACATTAGGTTATTTTGAAGTTACATATACAATATTTTAATATATACAATATAAAAAGTGACAAGTTTTAGACAAGATTTCTAGTTGAAAGTTCACCTAATTTGTATTCTAAAACACAAAGATTACATAATGTCACGTACCAGTTGTTTTTGAGATTAATAGGTGACCCACAGACTTACTGATATATTGTTGAAAATGTAACTAATATTTGAACTGGTACAACTTACCTTTCATATGTATTATAATTCCACTTATTAATAAAGTTTCACTTATTCCAGGAACTAAAATAGATTGTTTGTCTCAAAATGATCAACATTTCAACTTTCCTAGTTTACTGTTACCAATATTTTTTCACATATATAAAAATGGTCCCTATAGTCTTGACTTGAACTCATGACTCAGTATCAGAACATAGATTTTGAAAACACTGACTACAACTCACTCATTACATACAGACTGTTCACTAAAATATCTATTCTCTATATCATTTTAACGGCTCTCTCCTATATAGTCAAAACTACCATTCCATATAATGTATCTTGCTGTTCTTTAATATCAGGATAGTCCTTGCTATTCATTAAAAATACTGCAAGGTTCCATCTAATTGTTAAATAGGTAAGAAATTTTTGAATAACAATTAACACGTATTCATTTTACAAAAAAAAAAATAGCTTCTGGAGGCTGATAAGGAAAAACTTGGAGTCTTTGTAAAGATGAAATTTTTGACAAAATATGCGAGAAAATTTTAGAGTCCATGTGAAGGTAGAATGTTCAATATAATTTGTGAAATACTTTTATAATGTACGTAAAGCTGGAATATTTGACATAATGAGTGAAGCAGTTTTATTGCCAACTGTAGACGAATTGTTCCACTCAATGTGAAACAGTTTTCCTGTCCCTCAGACATTGACATAATGTTTTGGATTATTTTATAGTTTTTATGAAGATGTATTGTTTCTGTTGATATAAGAAATTTTTAGCCTTAACAAAATGAAATGTCTCTAATGATGTAAGGGATAGTTTTAGTTCTTGTAAAGATAGATTTTATCCATTTGCTCTGTGAGTTGAAATGTCTCAAACAATATGAGAGCATTTTCAGTTCTTGTGAGGATTTTTTTTCCACTTGTTCTGTGAGTTGAAATTCTCAAACAATATGAGGGCATTTTCAGTTCTTGTGAAGATGGATTTTTTTCTTTTTTTTTCTGTGAGATTAAACATCTCAAACAATATGAGTATATTTTCAGTTCTTGTTAAAGTGGATTTTATCCATTTTTTTTCTGTGAGATTAAATGACTCAATCAGTATGAGGATATTTTCAGTTGTTGTGAGATTGGATTTTATCCATTTTTTCTGTGAGATTAAATGACCCAATCAGTATGAGGATATTTTCAGTTATTGTGAAGATGGATTTTTTCCATTTGTTCTATGAGATGGAATGTCTCAAACAAATATGAGGATATTTTCAGTTCTTGTGAAGGTAGAATTTTTCCATGTTTGTAGGATGTTTAAGCTGTTTTAATAGTCTGCACAAAAGAGAAGGTTTCTTAATTAGTCCGTGATATATATTTTCGGAGAATTTGAAGGTGGTGACTACAAATTTAAATTGCCACCTAATAGAAAATTTCAAGAACCTGAAAATTTGGAATTGATTTCTTAGTATCCATCGTAGGGTTCCCAAGGGCTATAAAACTGTCCAATAATAATAGCAAATAAACCACTGTAGTTAGCAGAGTTAAAGGCATAATTTATCAAACCCACATGTTGAAGTATGCTCATCTATATAAGTATGATTTTTTTTTTGTAGAGTTAAGACCAAAAATAGCAGTTACCCTGCTGCCAGGCCTGCCTGCATATATTTTGTTCATGTGTATTCGTTACACAGATTATATTAATGATGATGAGAAGGTCCGTAGTCTTCTAAACAATACTATTTATGGAATTAAACGGGTAATTAAGGTAAGTCTTAGTTTGGATATAATACTTAATCATTTAATAGTTTAGGCTTGTAAAATTGTGTATTTATCCTTAGTACAGACGTATATACATCATATGCTGAGGCCAATTAATTAAAATGTCAGTACGTTATTAATTTGTAATATAATTCATACCATTTTATACATAACTTTAAGCTTTTTCAGGACAAGAAAAATCTTTGTAAATTTTCATTTGCTTAACTTTCTTAATATTGTTAATTTTTTTATCATTTTCTGTTTTCTTGCAGTCTAAGACTGTTAAACATTTATTATTTCTCAGAATATTTGAAGACAACATTGGAAAATTCAAATTAATATCAGAAATAAATGACAATTTTTTAACTTACTTTTTAGTATTAGAAATGCTCTTTTGTTAAAGGCATGCAACCATGAGTATCTGAAGGAAACTGGTTGTGTTGATAATCATTATAATATGGAAAAAAAGGAGTATTTTTTTTTCATACAATTTTCTTTCAGAAACGTCATGAAGATCTTGAATACACAACATTATGGTTAGCTAATACTTGTCGCCTTCTGCACAACTTTAAACAATACAGTGGAGACAAGGTATAATATTATTTGGTTATTATGACCCATTTATGATATGTTGACACTTATAAATATTTGTTGATAAAATAAAGATAGGATTAATTTTATAAAATATTGTTATTTAGAAGAAGATTAACATCAAATAAAAACTAACAGACTTATTTCTTGACTTTGACTCATATTTATTTAATCATCTTTTTATTTTATGTAATGATGAACTTGAGTAATTTTCTGATGACATAAATTTTCGCTTTCGGACATTTGTTTAAAACAGTATCTTACAACATTCTGTTAATATAAAGCTTGATAACTTGAATTGTGTTTTTTAGAGGAGGTTATTCATCAAATCACATTATTTTACAATAGTTAATACAACAATTGTTTTAATCTTCAGGCATTTCAGGCAGAAAATAGTTCTAAGCAGAACGAGCAATGTTTACGTAACTTTGATCTGTCAGAATACAGACAAGTCCTTAGTGACGTGGCTGTCTGGATCTACCAAGCTGTCATTAAAATCATGGAAGAAAGAGTTCAGCCTCTTATTGGTAATGTATACCTGTTGCTCATGTAATAATGCTTTTAGCAGCTCAACCTGAGATGGAAAAGTTGAGCTGAATTTGATATGTACGAACTAGTGGTTCTGTTATCTGGTGCTGGGTAAACAAATTCTTGACCCACCCAATAATGAGAAGATTAATTTGATTTGTATCTGTTGAACTAGTAGTTCCATTATCTGGTACTATACAAACAAATACTACAAATGACCTACTCATTAAAGAAAAGACTAAGTACAATATGAAAATCTTAGTAATATGGAAGTTTTTGTTTTTTCTGTAAACTTGTTGTTCCTCTTAGTTGATGTGGATAGATTATTATAGGGCATTTGAGCATTCAATAAAGAAACTACAAAGGGATTATAAAGAAAGCTTCATGTTTAAAATGTCTATCTTAAAACTACTTGCTATAGGAAACTAAATTTCATCAGAAGCACATCGAGAATTATGTTTTATTCAAATAGTATTTTTTTTATATGTGAAGGTTTACCTTTATTCACTGTGTATCTGCTAATGGACTTAGGTTTGTAAAATATAGAGCATGTAACTAAAGTAATGAAACTGTTTTATTGGGTTATCTGTATGTAGTATTTATTTTTGTTTCTATATGTGTGTGTGTGTGTGTGTTATTTTTTTATTCAATAAGTCTCAGAAAAGTATAACATTTGGTGAACTCCATTGCAAAACTAGGTATGACACTATAAATCAGTATTCCACTAATATTTGTAAGTAGACATCTTTTGTACTTGTGAAAAATGTATTTTGTCATAGAAAAGGGGAACTGCTCTTCTTTGATTCATTTCAGTATAACCTAGAATAAAAAGTTTATATTGAAATAATTTTTGATTTTTGTTGAACAGTCCCAGCTGTTTTGGAGCATGAAGCTATCCCAGGTATCTCTGGTAATAAACCTTTAGGAATGAGAGGACGAACATCTAGTCTTTCTAGAGAGCTTGAGTCGCCTGTTGATCCTGAAAGAGCTTTAGATACTTTACAAAGAGAGGTGAGAGAGAAAACCAAGTCAGTCTGTACAAGCTTGGTGTTTCTGGATAATTCCTAAAAATTTAATATTTCTGTTTAATTTCTTGTCAAATGCTGAAGTGTCTGGATTACAAGTATTCAGTACATGAAGAAATTAATTATTGATCAGTTTCTTAGTTTCAAATCGTTATGAGTACCTTGAAATAGATTTCTCTGATATTAAGAGGATTATCAAAATTATTTGAACAGTGGTTTCGTTCATTGTTATATTAATTTAGTAATTTATTTTTTGTATAAAATACATGAAATCAGGTTTAAAATAGATATCCAACTTGTTTAGACTATTATATACTGTTTGAAACTGTTAACAAGACTATTTGTAAGCTGATTTAGTTGCATTATTGAAGTTATCATTCATTGTTTTGACAGTAACTTCCATACCACTGTGTAAAATTTCTCAGGTTTCTGATTATTGGTAAAATGTATTACAGAAAAAGTACAGGGGCTATTTAAATGTTTTATAAGAATATTGTTTTCCTGATAATACATTTCATTATACCATAAGCTTTATCACAATAACCTAATCTTGACATCCTGTGTTTAAAATTTGTAAAGATATGTAACTGATAATAGGATTAAAATAATGATAATGGACCTTAGATCTTAGTAACTAAAGCAACTTTTTCTACCACAGTTTGCCATTGTAGAGTTGATTTTTCCACGTCTGTTAACAAAAGAACAACACCAGATACCAATGAAAAACCTGTTTACCTCAACCTTTTTCAAGGGGTTAACTATAATGCTCACTAAACTAGTCTCAATATAACTACTTTTGTGATCAGAAAAGGATTAACCTTTAACCTTTTGGAAAATCTGTAAGGTCAGATGTTGAGGTGAATAAAAGATTTTCATTGGTAATTGGTTGTTCTTTTTTTTATGCTTATAGGAAAGTACAATTAATAGTGGAACATTTCCTATATTTCTTGTTAGTAGGTTTAATAGAAATGCGTATTTTATTCAATAAAATCTACAGATGTAGAAGAATATAAAAGTTATTGCATACAGAATCTGTGCATGGACTTGTAGGAATGATTAATTAGGTAGCTAGTTTGTAAGTGAGCAGATGTGGCAGGATTAGTTGGGTTATTATATACAATATTTATTGTATATCTGTGCTTGTATATAATGAAATGTAAATAAATGGTAAAGAACCTCTAGTTACTTGTCTTTGTAGAACTATCTTAGATATGAGTCCATGGATTTAATTTTTTTCAATTCTGTTTTTCATCTGCACATATATTAGATGAACACATTTTTCAAAGTACTAAACCTTCATGGTGTGGACCCAGAATTGATAACACAAGTATTTAAACAGGTGAGAAAGAAGATATCATTATTTACTGCCCATGTTTTTACATAGTATTACAGTTATTGGGCTTTCTCTGATGGTTTTTCCATGTCTACTTGTTCAATGAATGCATAAGAATAATTCGAATTATTATTTTAATGTTTTTCATATTTTTAGGTTTATGTTCTTAAAATAAAATACTATGCTAGTGTTCTGTGTCATCAGGTATAAAATACTTGTGTAGACTAGATGTACTTCAGCAGAGTCCCTGAAAGTGTTCTGTTTCAAGTGTAAACAAAACCAAAGTTAAGAGTAACAAATATTTTTATTACTTGCTTTTGAAGTTCATATGTCATGCTGTGTTGTAGCCTATAGAGTGCATAATTCTTCTGATGATTTGTGACATGCACATGTTTTACTAACATCACAACTGTACAAAATGCAACGTTAAGCATCCCTTATCATCATTTTAGTGTTTACTGACTGACAGACAACATATTACTTTATAGTGGCGCGATTGGTTAAAATAAGTGACCCCTTAAAGCCTTTTTCGGGGAAACAAGATTTAAACAGATCAAGAATATTCACAGAGTGCTAATATATATCAGTTTCATTATTTGAATTTGTCATGGATACATAGTATTGATGTGTGTAATTTTGCATTTTGTGAACTTGTTAACAATGCTCACATAATAATGACATGTGTGAACCGTATATTTTAAATTTAGGATACTTGCATAGTAGTGATGTAAATTAACTACATCATTTAAAGTTATCAAAAACATCTAGTTCATACTACTAGTGTATTTGTCCAGTCATTGATGATGCAGTCTTTGGTTGTTGGCTTTGTTTTAGAAGGTCTGCTAAATTACATAATTCTTAAGTGAAGCCAAGAAGTTGCCCACAAAAGTCACTTGTTTTACTGCACTAAAAAAACTATCCTTTCTGAGCTGAAATAAAAAGAAATAATTGTTGAACTAACTTTTATATATTTCATAACGTATATATTGAAAACATCAAGTAATAACAACATACGTAAAAAACACAAGTTTCATTGTAGTATTATATAACAGTTTAAAAGTGTTTGTAGCTTCTAACAAAAGTAACTTTTTTATGCAGTTGTAATCTTCTCAAAGTTTAGCTGTTGCTTTGTTATGTTTAATTAGTTCAAGATTAATGGAAATATGTTAAAATATTTTTAAGATGCTTTCTCTTCTTTTTTGTCAGTTTATGTAATTTTGGGATAGGCTGAAACAGAGAGATTTGATCATATAGTTGAACTAAAAATAATGCTCCTTATTTTTGTCACTGGTGTCTTTAATGCAGTTTTCTTATTACATGTTTGTTTAACTTATTTCAGAGATTCATAGAACAGGCAGTACTTTGTCTACTTAATATCATGTCAATTTTAGCTTAAGAGTACTGTTTACTTAATTTACTGGATTAATTCCTCCTCAGTTTTTTTTCCTCATAGAAAAGATAGTTGAAACTTTCTATAAGAATTCTTTCTTTAACTTTCTTCTATAGGAGATACTGGTCTTATGGTTAACTACTGTGACTAAAGCTATAGTGTAGAGGAGAAAACATCTAAACAGACTACACACAAAATTGAAAAGATTTAAAGTTTTAAAAAAACATAAACTGCCAACACCTGACATAATAGTATGTCACAGTAGAATAAGTATGTAATCACAATACTTAACCACCAAAATATGGAATGTGAAATGTGTTTTCCTGTTTCAGCTGTTCTATTTCATTTGTGCGGGTGCTCTGAACAACTTGTTGTTAAGGAAAGATATGTGTCACTGGTCGAAAGGCATGCAGATTAGGTATGTACAATTAAAAAATCTGTACATATTAATCGTTTTTATACTGAGTACCATTCATTAGATAAATATTAACAGTTCTTCTAGGAATTTGTCTAACACTGAACCTTTGAATTTTCTGAACTAAAGTTTGTTATTCCTGTAAATTGGAAGTTTCAGTATAGATTTTCAACCACTTAATTTTCATTAAACCATTCTGATGAAAACGTGTGCTTGTAATAACTGTAAGTTATGGATAACATTGCAAGTTTACATTGAATGATTAAAGGTATTTCTTAGGTTCATGTCTGCACTTAAGTCATGTTTTTAACTAAGTCATGTTTTTTTAGTTTCGGAAACACTAGAAATTCATATAATTTAAAAATATTTTTTCAGGCCTAGAAAGCTATGGAATTTCATTGTAAATCCTGGAAAACAGTTTTAATGATCATTTGTCAGTGTAAATAAATAATAAATTTAAGAGTTTTGTTTTTATAAACCCATGAACACCATACCTTATATTTTATCTTTAGAATATTGGAAGATGTCACAACTGATAGTGAATCTAGCTTTTCTGACTGGTGTTGCTGCACTGTATGTTGTCTACTGTTAAGTGGAGACTGACACATTTACAACCATGCAATAGACTAAATATATATTATTATTTCTATGCCTAAGTTTAGTAATATGCCAGTTTTATATCATGAACCACTATTGTGGTTTATGATAGGGATCACCCAGGAATTTCACAAAAATTCTAATAGAACATATAGGCAAAAACCTTAATTATCATTCTGTTTTAAATGAGTTATTTACCATCATATCTTCAATTTCATTATCTTCACAATTTTATCTGTTTACTTTTTCATGTATATTTTATATTAATTTTATAGATTTATTGCCTGGCTTGTACAAGCTATACTTTATTCATCTTTGAAAAACAACATGTTACAATAGGAAGACATTTCCATAGACTCATATGAAGTTGTGCACTCATACACTTAGTGAGCTAAGCCTTTTCTCTAAGTTCTTTGACAAAAATGTTTGTGCATCTTTCAAATGTGCATTTTAAAACATAAATATATATGATACATAAGGCACTAATATAGAATTCCCATAAACAGTTGTAATCGTTTTTCTCACATAGTTGTAAATAGGATGAAACAAATTATTATATGCAATAAGCATTAACTTCGCTTACCAACACACAAGCACAATCATTTCTTCTAGTCTAATGCCCATTGCTGCCAACTTTCAAAAGGTTGAAACAGATGGTAAGCTATTTCTAAGAGTTGTTATTGAATTATATAAGGTATATGAAGCTTGCATGCAGACTTCACTGAGAAATCTTTTTATTTAACTTTTTGTCATTTTCTTATCTAACCTTGCACATTTATAATTTTTAAATCTTAGTTACTTTTATAGCAATAAATATAAAATATACATAAAAGTCAAGAAATTTTGTATTTTCATTTGGGCTGTTGCTTTTTTGCTCTTGGTCCCCAACATAATTTAACTTTACTTTTTGTAATGAGAATAATAGAAAATAAAATATTTTTTATTTATTTCAAATACACAATAAGAACACAAAATGGTAATACAAATCATACAATGTTCTATAACTATTATAATTTAACTGACTATCTAACCAAAGTATAATTGCCTTAAAATAAGTCATTTACATAATTGACGTGAATTCGATGACAATAACATTAACTCTAATGGCTGGATAATTCAAACACTCATCCAAATGAATTAGCTTTATATGGAAATCAATAAGTTAAAATCTTCTCTTCCTATTAGCTATAAATAATCCAAGATCAAATGTCAGAGAGAATTATTGACATTTTGTGAAAAATGGGATGTGATGGGAGGGTGTGTCAGGCGAGTTTGATTTATATCTTCATAAACCAAGAAGACTATAAAAAAATTAGACTATTACTTAGTAATATCTATATCATATAGGGGTGATGAAAAATACAAAATGAGCAATTTGTAGTGATGAATGTCATGATACATCCAAGGGAAGATTAAGAAATGGAAATTGGCATAATATTAAAATTTTATTTATTAACTGCATTTTGATGGCAAAGTTAGGGATATACATTTATATTAAAGTAGTTTAATTAAATTTTAAATGCACAAAGTTGTGAGATGCGCATTTTTACCTACTCTGTTCTGAGGGTTAACCTTGTGTGCAAAAGTGGGTGTCAACGTATGCATACCATGATTTTTTACAGAGTACCATTTAACATATTATGTATTTGGTGGCAGAATTGTCAATTATTAATTTTAACTTACATTGCTGATTTAGTGACAGACGTTTTTCAACATGAAAACTTACAGTGGATGAAGGTATTTTAATTCTTCACATGAACATCATCTTGCACTCTGACTTGTCTGGGTCAGACTGGTGTCATCAGTTCACAACCATATCATAAGTACAAATACTTTTGTAACACATGACCTTTTGTGTACAACAGACTTGTACACTTGACTAAAAGTTTGCCACATCTCTTGTAAATACACATAGTCAATTATACTATACAGTCCTTCTCCAAAACTGGTTAATCCAATGGACTGACTCCATACATTTTCAGTTAATATGTACTGAATCAAAACTGTAGAGGCTTTTTCTTTTCGTCCATAGTATGTGGATCTTAAAGAAAACTTCTTTTAAACAAGCATTTCTGTAAATGTCTCTAGAAATCACACCAAACTTTCAGGCCTCCCATTTTATCACACAATAGACATGCAATTTTATCATATAACTCCATAACAATCTATTGTAAAGTATCAGTTCATTCACAGTTTTCCAGGATAATAGTTATGTATCATCAACAACAGCATAATTTTGAGTGATCATAAAAACTTTTACTTGCAATGAAATAACTTTGCCTCCTCTTTAATATCTGTAATCAACAACCATATGCTGTGTGAATGAAGTCTTTTTCTACTCATGCTATTTAGTGATAGTATTTACGTACCAGTGTGCTTGTTTAAGTATGTTAGTGATATTTATTTAGTGTAAAAGAATAATTACATTTGTAGACAATGCTTTAATAACCATTATGTACTAGAAGTTATTTCTACTGAAAATACATTATTTTAAAAATTATTTATTGTAAAATTGTGCACTTTAATTTCACTTACATTATATTAATGTAATATATGAATAATATATTACATTATATATAATAATATATATGTCATTATATGAATAATAAAAAAAAATGTGTCACTCTGTTATAAAAACAATTAATGACACTTGTAAAAAAATAAATATTTTGAGAGTAATTTTTGCAAATTTATGAAAATGCTAATGGTTTAACATCTGTATTAACTGATAAAAGAGTGATGTTTTATCATTTTGTGGTTTATTGGAATTATATTGAAATATCATAAATTCAAAGTACACAGTTTATTTTCTTTACAAATGTTTGCATCCCTTGAGCAAATAAGTATGTACATATATGAGGGACAGTTGGGAATCTCATTGATCCATTCATACACTTGTCATTTACAGAATTTACTTTTTCTAGAGATCAAGATATATCAATATCTTCAAGTCATCGAGATTATTTGTAAGCCTATAGTCTCCCATATATTATTTATTGAAGTGGGTATCCAGCTAAAATATTGCAACTGTTAGCAAAATTAAGTAGTAGTAGTTGGTGCTGAACTTTTATCCCATGCAAAGATAGTTTAAGAGAGGAAAATTGTGCTTTACAAAATACTTTTTTTCGTATTTGATAGCTTGCATATGAAAAGATGACAATAGGTTTATTATTAATAGCTTATGTGATAATTTTTCATAACAGAGTACGTTTAGCTTAAACTTGTGTTAGTTTTGACCTAAGTAATTTTCTTGAAATTTTTATGCATACTTAAAATCTTAGGTTTGGTTTGAATACTAGGCCTTTTTTATAAATTAATATTAGTTTTAATAGTTTTGTTTAAATTTACTCACTGATTAAGTATTATTACAAGTTACAGCTTTTACAGTGAGGAAGAATATATTTAAAACATGTACAACCTTTCGATCACTGGTACCTTCTTTACCATTAAGACTTGTGTACTTGAGAATGACCACACCTGTTTTAAAAATATTCTTCCTTACTGTAAAAACTGTAACTTGTATAAAATAATAAGTTATAGTTTGTGTTATCCTGTACTATGGCCTAAAAAAGTTTCCCTTTTATTTCCCCCACAAAATATTTTTGTATGTGTAAATATAGACAAGTAGATATCATTCTTAAACATTAAAATTTGATTTGTCAAATACAAATATTTATGGGCCTGATGTTACTGTACAGAACACTATGTTGTTAGCATATTCTTAAAAATTCCATAGGGTTTTCAAAATTGATAAGATCAAACTTCACAATCAGTATTTTCTTTTAAGAAACAAGAATATTAATTAGCTTTCTAAGATTTAATGTAGTATTTTAATAGTTGAATTATTCAAAACCAGCTTAACTCATGTTTACCCTTAAGATATAGAAAGAAGCTTTCTGGGGAAACCTTTATTCTTTGCACTTGGTAAAAAAAAAAAAATTAAATAATAAAGTATATATACTTGAAGCAATAACAATAATCTATCCCACTGTAAAAGTACAGTGTGTGTCACGTCATGCTTGATTTCTTGAAAAATGCACT